CCTTTGAGGACAAAGTGACGTTGAAGATGGCCTCCTTTGGTGCCTTGTCCAATGCCGAAACCATTCGCAAAGGCAAGGGCCGGGGAAAAGGCAAGGGAAAAGGAAGCCGCCCGGGAGGGCAGGCCCAGCGCTCAACCAATGCTGAGGATTACATCTACAGCACCAAGATTGAGATGCAGCAGGTCAGATGCCACTTCTGCGGCGAGTTGAACATTGAGGGCACCCACAAGTGTCAGTCGTGCTTCAAATGGCTGATTGCTTGGTCGGATGGAAGAATTGCGACAGAGGTATGCCGGATGGAAATCTCGGCCAAGAAAACCAATAAGGTATTTTCTCTGGACAAAATCGACTTTGAGAAGCAGCCTCGAGCTCAGCGAGTCTCCGACCGCACCCGAGCAGACCAACGTCGAGCTGGACGAAGCAATTTCGGAAATCTCAAGGACGCTGCTCAAACACATGCGGGAAGATACACAAAGCTCGGCTTCAAATCGATCCAGGACCGCATGGAGAAGGACCCATTTTATTTGTTCAACAATGCGGTCGGCCAGATTACCCCCGACTGTTGCCAATTTTTGGAGGACTTGGCAAAATGCATTGCCCCTGATGTCGGCCGTACCCGAGAGAAGCGAGAAAAGCAACTGGGAACAGGTGTCAGCACTCGATTGATTTTCATGCCAGACTTCAACAGAGACATCCGACTCCCGTTGGATGTCACAAAGGAAGCCATGGTTGCTCATCATGCACGAGTTTTTACACTCCCACAATTTGCTGTTCTTGCTGCGGACTTGCTGAAAGCGAGGGGGGAACCCACGCCGATGTTATTTGGTTGGTCTGGCTCTATGATGCCTGTGGATCAAGGGTCAGCTCAAGATTGCTTCTTCGACCTTGTCGACTTTGCGAAAAGGCAGTGGAAGGAGCAATACAACAACATCAAGGGTGAGGAACACTCCTTCGTTGATGAAGCCACTGCATCAGATGTGGCTGAATTTCCATTGGCAAGGTCCTCCAAGACGGGTACTGGCGAAGGGCGAGAAGGATACCGGCGTCACTTTGACCCGATTCAGAAGCCAGCCAAGGGCAAAGGAAAGGGTTATGGTCAGCAACAGCGCCCAATCTTTCAGCAGGCCATTGAGTGCTGGAAGTGCGGTCAGTATGGCCACAAATCCTTTGAATGCCGCAGTGGATGGAACCGAGGGCAACAGTGGGGTTCGTATGGATCTTACTCAAGCCGCTCGGGAGGGCAGGCCCAATGGCAAAGCTGGAATTGGAATCAGGGCTACTCTGGCCGAGGTTGGACTGCTGATCCTTGGGGATCTTCAGCATCAAGCTCCTCGGCAGCTCCTCCGGAGCCAGTGCGGCCACCATCAACAGCGACGCCTGTGCCTGACACAACACCAGCTGCTGGCGATTCTGCCCAAGCTGCCTCTGGACCAGCTACCGCAGCAGAGCCTCCACGACAAGTGCCTCGTGCACCAGTTGTGATTGCTGAGGAGTACTGCGAGATCAACGGCCAGCCGCACTTCAAGCGCACCTACAATGATGGGACGGTAGAGTTTGAATCTTGGTAGATGTTTCACATCTTGTGCCATGATTTTATGCCTACCGGAAGGTTTGGCCGATTGGATGAAAGCTGACCCATGGTCATTCAGTTCAATCGAATTGCACACATTTCCAAAACTTTAAATTCCAACTTGATTGACTTGAAAACTTTCCCAATTGATTCAAAAAGAGATTGACATCAGCATCCGATCCTTTGCGGTAGTTGCACGTGTACAGATGCCGTGTAGATTAGCCTGATATAGCTGTTTCCGAAACCAATGGCAAGATAAAGGAGTGGTAATGCTCCTATGCCTTGGCGGAAGCCAGGCCAATCTCGCTTTTGCCTCTGTCTGAAGTGTGCGTTACCCCGGATTGAAAATGCTTTGCATCCGTACTCATATTCCTGCCTCATGCATTCGAGCATAGACCAAGCCCACACAACATGATGATAGGTGGTTTGTACAGTGATGTCTGCTTTTGCCCGCTCTCAGGTCACATCTGGCGGGCTACTCCTTCCGACCTCCGCGCAACTGCGGACGGCGGGGGGTGTTTTTAGTGTATATCCCTGTACATACTTATGTAATTCATCTTATACGTTGTGTTCATGGCTCAAGCAAAACAAGCGCGTTTGCTGATGCTTTCAGGTTGTTTAACCTGTAAAACACCTTCTCCATATGTTTCCTATTTTGATTTGTTGGGGCTGCATTTGATTCAAATATTTTAAACATGTCTTTTGAACTATTGTTTGTCCAGATTGGCAAATGTGGATCGATGTTCATTTTGTTTGTTAATTTGTCAATGTTGATTGCTGGTGATTGCGGGTGATCATTGCAGTCGTGCCGGTCTTGATGCAGCCATCATCATCATCATCATCACCATCATCATCGTTTTCAAATCACCGGTTGCAACTTGTGGGAATGACAGTTTCAGGAAATTGTTGTTCAATTTCAGAAAAGTGATGCGAATGGATTGATACTGTTATACATACCCCTGTGTTTTCATCAGTTTTTGTTGAACATCATCCTGTTACAGGATGGTGCCCTCCAGTTATAAGTTGGTTTATAAACCCCAGTAAGTATAGTTATAAGTACCATAAACCATAGTTATTGGAGTTATAAACCAACTTAGCTATCTTGGGCACCACCTTGTAGTGCACACCGCAGTGACCCCATGGATGGTTGATAAACCCATGACAGAGTCCAAGGCCAAAGTCCTTCGAGGCGCCCCCGCCATCGCGCACAGCGGATGTTGATGTTTTTGTGGACGGGGCCTTGTTTGATAAATCGTCTAATGTGGGTAAAACAATGTCATAAACCACCCATTTGGGAATGGTTTATACATGTTTATACCACCTATTTGATGGTGATTTGGGGGATGGATGGGGATGGTTTATAATTATGTTTGTTTTCCCTGTAATTACTGGTCTCTAAGATTGGCCATGAAAATCATGAAAAGATCCTTCAGGGTGGAAACATGGAACCACTGCAGCATGTGTGTGTGTGCGTTCTGTTCCACATTCGAGTGTTTACCTCGCAAAGGCTATGTTTTCGGATTTTTGACTTTCAGCCCCATAGTGGTTAATCAAATGAAATTACTGAAAGTTCATGAAAGTTCGATGCTATCACACTCCTTGGCGTTTGGTTACATGTCTTCACAATGGTTGACCTGCCGTTGGTTCCCATCATCGTGACGGTTTTGACTTGCATGGTTCAACAGGAATGAACATCTGTAGTCTGTAGTTCTCAAATCATTTCGATCCTTCAGAACTTAGGCCCTCGGCCCAGTTTGTTTTCACCGTTGAGGTGTTTACATCATGCGTTCCGTTCAAGAAAATGTTTCTAAATTTGGGAACATTTGTTGTAGGAGCAGGTTCACTGTAATCCTTTCAACTGCTGAGAGGTGCAAAAAGCAATTGCGAAAGCTGACGTGGTTTGCAATACCATTTGATTAATGAATCCTTTCTTGTCTAATCTGCTTAAAATTGTCGTCATGCCCGCGTTGAAAGAGGTGTACACTAGAGGAATGTTTCGGACAGTACTCAAGAATTGTATACAGTTGCATTTTGGTAGTAAAACGGTGCTACGATATTTTTTGAAAAGTCGCTTGTAGAAGTGGCACCAATCAGTTGGATTCAGCTGAACACTGAACGCCATGGTGCTGACCTTGGACATCCTTGGACTTGTACGTCCTGTTCAGTGCGGGACCAAGGTCCACAGGCTACAAATGGGGTAAAAATATACAGGAAATTACGGGAATGCATCACCAAAACGATGGAAATTAGACTTGTATATTCAGTGATGGGCCCCTCCTGCTTACAACAGTTGATTTAAGGTTCAATCAAATCGAACATATAACAGCGCCACAATTGCAGGAATTTGTTCCACTCCATCCATCCGTGGCAGGGTCCCATCATTCTAGGAGCAAACATGAGTCAGCATGTCATGGGGTAACCCGCTGGTGAATGGTAGCGTTCTTGTTCGCTTTGAATAAAGGAAATAATTAAGGAAACCTATTGCCCATCATTCAGAACATCTAGAATCAGCTATGCATGTTCGATATGTTTTGCGCATTGTCGTTCTGGTTGTGGAGAATCATAGTTCACTACCGTGGTGGTTTTGGAGGGCTCCCTTGAGCCCCAACAAGTCCAAAGAATGGACCGCTCTTGGCTCAAGTTCCCTCGCGGAGAGGGCTATGGCCGCCCAGTCCCAATGACTTCGCAGGCGCGCAGTCGCATCCCGCAGGGAATCCCGGGAGTTGGCACCTCGATCTCGAGAATCAGGAGTGAGTCATAGGATATCACAATTGAAGGCCCACCGGACGGCAAATTTTTGCTCATGTTTCCTACTGGCATCCTACTGGCCAGTTTTTTTTTGACCCATGACCGTTCTGAGTTTGGGTTTTCGGTGGTTCCCTCAATGTGTGTGTGTGTGGTTTTTTTGGATGGTGGTATATGTCAGACTGCCTGGACATCACTTGCCAATTGTAAGGTCATGTGTGGATCAACTGATCAATCCCAATGAATATCAAGGAATCCCCGTTCTGGGTCTTGTTTTGGATGCCGCTAAATGATTTACTTATGCTTATTTACCATTGGATCAATGGGGTAAGTGATGGTATGTGTCAGGTATGTGTAGTTATAATGTGCTTTCTTGTTTTTACATCCATGTTATTTCCATGTTCAATATGATTTGAAACTTGGTGGTAGGAACATATTGATCGCTCCAATCGACCATGATTATATGAATTATGTATATCATTGTACATCTACAGTCTATAATATATATATATATATACTATAATATACACCTGTCACTCCTGTCAAGAGGGTTCGAATCGTCAATCATAGACTTTGGAGGGAAAGCCTTCAGAACCCCCTTATATTTCATATGTAGTCGGTATTGCAAAACCATGGGTTTTCCATGGTTTTCCGGTAAAGAAAGAACCCTTGGATCAGTACTGCCATGGGGCCCCGGCTGTTGCAGGCGGGCTCTCGCGGTGCCAAAACGCCTCTGAAGTCGGCCAGTGCTCCAAGCATCGCGGGCTCTGCTAAGCTGGGACTCACGGTGCGACCTGAAGGAAGCGCACGGGACATGGAAACCTGGTGGAGGGGACGGGGGGTTATCATTGTCTATATGCATTGATCATCATATGATCATCATTTATCGATGTTTTTATATTATGTTTTTTTTTGAAGGTTACTAAGGCGGAAGCGCTCATGATTTTAATGGTATGATTGCTTCGGCTTTGTCAGTGTTGTCCCATGTTGGGAGGGCCTTGATTGTTGGACCTTGGCGATCGCAAACAGTGATGGAACAATTAAAGCACCTTGCCCCTGGCTCGAAGTAGGACGGTGCGGTATTGTCAGCTTGGTCGCAGGCAGTTCAAGTCCATGGGTTGAACCCCATCCACTGAAGCAGGCTGGACAGCATCCCGGGCACTCGGGGGCCTCGGGAGTGCCTGAAGTCTTCTCCACAGAATCATAGACGGGTTTGAAAACATCGCAAAGTTCTGAAATCCTTAGGCACAGACTCGTAGCAGATGCCCTTTGATGGTTGGGCCTCGGGTTGCGTGAAGCAAACACCATCACTGGCCAGGTGGATTGGGACCCAAAGGCCTTCGTAGACGATGTCCCTTGGATTCCCTTGGATTCCCCCCGGGTGCCTGGCCTTGGGCCTTGCGGCCTTGGGTTTGTGATCTAATTGGGCCCATGGATTTATATGGGTATGGGTCAAAATTAGGTCCCCCAAAATTATGGATGGTTAATACTAAACTAGACTAACATCTGTGGTCCCCTAGGTCTTCCATTTTGACCCACATCCATATGATGTCTCATTTCATGTTGTTGGAGGGTGTTTGAACCCTTTATAAACACAATTGTAAAATATATATAGAAAGTACATGTATTGTAAATGTCAGAAACTTTCAGAAATTGAGAAGCTAACGCAACGTCTAAGCTCCCCTGATGACAAGGTGCGATGTGTTCAAACATGTCATTCTGGGATATTCTGGGCATTTAGAGTGTCAACATACTGCGTCGTTAAGGCAAGTCTCGAACACCAGACCAAATCTTCAACCCATGTGGAGGTTCCACATGGGATACCCCAAAATCCAGCAGGTACACAATCCCATGTCCCATTTGTTCCACATTAAGCTTGCCTTTTTCACGTTCCTGTTGTTGGATGAAGCATGGATCAATCCCATATGGCGCTGCTACGAAGCCCCGAGGAAACCAAGCGAGATGAACATCGCTGGGCACAGCTCATGAAGTACCGAGAGGGGTTCCGCAGCCGGCTTGGGCGGAGCTGATGTGAGATCAAGGCAGAAAAACATAGGGATAGAACCGGAAGAACTTGAATGGCCACGTACTCAGGAAATACAAGTACCAAAAGTACCAAAATACACATCCTGGGTGAGCGCCGCAGACTTTTTTCTTTTAGACGGTGCCAACCCACATCAATCCACAAAGAACTGAGAAAGTGACAGAAAGTGTTAGGTGCCATTCTTATTTGAGAAGGAGCCATCCATTTTTGAGATCTTGTTGGCATTGTGAATAAAGTTCTAGGGCCTGTTTTGAGACAACGTGGCAACCCTTGCAGTCAATCCAGCCACAGGGTCTCAGAGGCACGGAATCTTGAAGCCTTCCTTCACCCGATCCAAGGACAATCCTAAGCATCACTTGGTCAACATATTTTGGTCATTCTTGGGATCAATCATCTATTTGTTTGCACCCATTGACCTAACCAAATTTGGGTTCCAGATGCAGATCCTGTCAGATTTCTATGCCAAGGCTTGCCAAGCAGATCGAAGAGAACAAGGCCCTCAGGCGAGCTCAGACTCCTGTAGGATCTGAAAGAAGATGTGGATAGATATGGCTATTCATTTCTAGACCCTCCAAAAACCTAGAAGAATGGGTTATATACCCATGATTTATGGTTTTTCACCTGTCATGGGTGCTAAGTTGAAGCACGAAATATGGCCCATCGAAATCGGGAAGTGGTGGAACATGATGGGGATGCCATGGGAAAGCGATGGGGAAGTCCCTCAATTGTCTTGTCCAAATTGCCTATTCATTAATGGTAGAGGGGATCTAAGGAGCTATGGATATCCATGTTCCCTGTAAACAGGGTGAGCTATACAGCTAATCATTTTCCCAACCGCATTATAGCTGGATGATTTTGAACATTGTTGTGTGCATTTGCACAATTTGACCCTTCCACAAATCTCGTTACCCTTGGATTATTCAACGGTTTGCTATGTATATATATATATATATATATATAGAAAAGGTAAAACACCTATAAAGGCAATTGCCCACTACTGTAGCAAACTCTTAACAATTCCAGATCTTGTAATTATTCCACTATTATTTAAATGTTCCCTACTATATTTGTTGGACAACTTCCCATGGTTGGTGCATGACATGATGCAAAGCTATGCCACAGCGCCCTGCTACGAGGCAAGCGCGCCGCGCTGAGTCGCACGACATGGCCAAGACCATCGCAGCTGAGACGTTGAAGATGCACACGCGGGAGATCAGGGAGAAGGAGATGCGACCTGCGACGGGTTTGTCACGGCTGAGTGCTTTTGTCAGGATTCGAAAGGAATGATATAGGGATGCTTTCAACGACCCAACTCGATTTGAGGCGGTAACATGTCATACCCTTTAAGGTGGGTCCGAAGTGACCAACAAACATGCAGGATCAGCCATGATAAATTAGTTTAACAAAAACGTGATTGTTTATTTGTCATGCAACATTGAGATATTAAGTGGACGTAGCGCGACCGGGTTTCATGAGATTATATTTTTGGATTAACCAGTTGACGACATGCCTTCCATCCCTTATCCTAAATCTAGGTCACTGGACAAATACGATTAGGAAGCTTTCAGCCGTGATCCAGCCACGATTCCTGATATCACTGCTATCATTCGGAGTCAGGATTGGATACCACCAGATACACCTACAAACTATTTATAATTAGATTTATGTTCCCAGGGGTCCCCAAGGGCTCAGGGCCTTCAATTTCGCCATCCCCCATTCCAGCTCATTGCTCCATAGGAGGAACTGCATCAGAAGCGTCTCAAAAACCGGCAGAACTTGGACGAGCAGATGGCACTGTAGCTAGGTTTGCTGAAGATGACTTGTTATATTCCTAATTAATCATTAACCCATATCAATGTCATATCAATCCATATTTTTTTGGGAGCTATTATTTTAAAGCAACATGTATGGTTTTTCAAGTAAATGCAAGTAGCGGCACATGGATCCAGCACTTTCATGTTAGAAGGGATTCACGTGAATCCCTCCATTGTATCTTCTCTTAGCGGATCTGTAGGCTATGCTTTGACAATAGCCCTGCTGCAATGTTTGTTCACCAAGGTCACTAAGGTTTGCCCGCCTTTTTCTTCCGAGTAATTTGCATACCTCGCAAAGCAAGACAAAATCCATCAAAATCCTATATGCAGGAGTAGTTGCAGAGGTTGAACAATGTTCCAATCTTGCATGTTTCCTAGCCAGTTTAAGCACCATGATGTGTCAGATCAGGGATGAAATTACTACAGTTACTACGTACATCAGATACACAATGACCTGATCTTAACTCGCATCACCATATTTGACTTTCAATCCCAGAGTTGGCGCGGGAGAACGCATACGCATTGAAGGTGCGGGGAAAAATACACAGACTTTTTCGGTGGTTTCAATGTCATGATGTTTTCTTAGTGAACGTACTTGGCTGGTTTGATTTCGTTTGTTTTTTTTGAAATAAATATTTTTGAAGATCCTTGGGACAGCTTGAGATGACCTCATATAGAGGGATGGTGGAAACAACGCAGGCACCAAGCAGTCGGATCGCTTCAGGTTAGAGGAGCGCGCCAAGGAATCGCGACTTCAAGACCTGCTGGAGGGCGCTGAGACCAAGGCCGGGGAGATCACGGGGATGTCATGGGAATGTATAGGTGGTATATGTTGGTATAATAGGTGTCGGATTTTAAAGGTATAAATATGGGAACTTAGGGATATACCCTCAGGTAATTTGTCAGAGATTGCTGTGCAATTGATGGCCCATGTATAGATGATTTACCGAGTACGGATGGTGATTTTCTCTATGTTACACTGCCATTTTAGGTAATGTTAGATCATGTTCTTCCATTTCTTCCTTAAGTCCGGAGTTTTGTTGGCTCATACATTGATTCGATGGATTTGGATACACAGAGCTGTAGTGAACACTTGGGAATTACTGAAATTAAAGACGTAAATCCTCGGCTTTTGGTTGAACACGGAACCAGTTTGTGGATTTCCTGGCTCTTCCGGACCATCACTATACCCAGCATGTTCTATAGTAATATTATGTATTATTGATGTGCGCGTCCAGTTCATGGTTTTTTGCGTTTTTTTACTTTATACTTTATACCATATTCTATGGCTACTTTGAGGGTAAAAGTTTGTTTCTGTTCATGTTCTGAGACTGGAAAATCCAAGGGTCTCCAGAATCTCCAGATTTACCCAACAAAAAAATAGCTCAACAATACCATAGGAGAAGCTGTGCCATGGGCCATGGGGGCCTGGATTCAATCCAGGCCAGAAGCATGCAGCTCCTCTATGAAGAGATGGAAACCCAAAAGAAGCGAAAAGAGGACAGGGCGACCCCAACATTGTTCACCCGAAATTTAGTCAACTAAATGCACCATGCACCTGAAATTAGTCAACTAAACATAGTGAAACAGATTCATGTATATATATATTATATATATATTATATATATATATATATTTACACACTTTTTGATGATGTGTATATGCGTAATTATATATATATGTACATATGTACATGCATATGTATGTGTATGATGTATATCAGTTAGTTTTACCCATTGAATGAGCATGTTGTCAAATAATGTGTGGTTTTGTTGAACGGGGCCCAAATCGAGAAAATTGGAGGACTTGAAGAAACGCGGGGACGAGATGCTGCTTGGCATCCCAAGGGGACAAATTGTAGATGTCCAATTCTTGAAAGTCAAATCCACCATAGTAGTGACAATCCGCAATTAAACTCTGGGGTAAAATGTGTCATTGGGATTTTCTGGGTATATTGGGTAACGAATCATTGGTTTAGTACTGTGACTGCTGTCGCTTTTTAGTACGAGAAATGTACGGTATGAGCCATCATCGGTCGGTAGTTTATTGTTTGGTTTGCGACATGATCATGTGTTTTCATCAAAAAATCACGTGAAACTGTGGAAAAGTGTGGGTATACATGGATTTGGAAGAGCCTCGTATGAAGTTGGTGTATGCTTCAATATGATCACTGATCACCCGCTCAGAAAATGGATGGCTTAATAAAACTCAGAATTTTCAGACTGACCCTTCCATGCAGTTTATGTCCTATTATTTTATTTCATTGTTTTAACCATGGTATTTGGACATTTTTTTCTATCCCCACAAGGTGGTGCCCCCCAAGTTATAAGTTGGTTTATAATCCCATTAACTATAGATATATCTACCATAAGTCCTAGTTATTAGAGTTTAAACCAACTTAGCTATCTTGGGGGCACCACCTTGCATGAGATGATCATCCAACATCACTGTGGCTGTTTTTTTTTCACGTCGAGGCGCCAAGAGGTGGCCCGCAGACAGGTGGAGAAGAGCGACAACAAGAAGCAGGAGATTCACCCGCCACCGGCACTTTAATGACTGGCTGGTTGGTGGTTTGGAACATTTATTTTCCATAATATATGGGAATAATAATCCCAGCTGACTTTCATATTTTCAGAGGGGTAGGTATACCACCAACCATGACTGGGGATGGTGCACAAAGATGTTTAAAGTTTATAGCACCCAAAGATGGCGATGGGGATGGATTCTTATTGGCTCTAGCACATTCATTAGCCTCCGGGGTCATCAAACATGGCTCGCCGGAAAATCAACAACAAAAAAGGGAGGTTCTAATGGGAAAACCATGATGAAACCAAATGGATGGTTTTTACAGCTAGCCCTGTTTGATTACCAGAGGGCCACAGCAATGTTAAGCTTCAAGCCTCAATATGTTTGAAGGATTTTGAAGGTTTCATGACATTTAAAGAAATAAAGAACAAGAATCAAAGGGTAATGTAATATTTGAAAGCAGACAATTGATGGTTTTAATGTGTGGTCATGACGCCAACATGCCAAGTTTCTGATGGGTATAGGCACTCTTCTAGCAGAAGCAGCAGTGTATTTCCATACGTACAGATGCATCAGGCCATAAGAATCAGTGCTGGCAGAAATTCAGATACCTCTGGTTATTTAAAATTTGTTTCATAGCTATATAGTATAGATGGCCCATTTATAAACGACGAAAAGCTGATTACCTATATAGAAAATGATGATTTTCCAGTTCACTACGTTAAAGAACCCGTGGGTAGCATGTCAAGAAAAAAAACAAGCTCTTTTCATAGCAGCCAGCAGCCAGCCCCCAGCAGATTCACCACCAACATCCCAGTATCAACTCATTTTTTCGCGGTTTTGTTGCCGGTTCAATGGGCCCATTTCGATCCATCATGCTATACAGTGATGTTTATTTATATTTAATAAAAAAACGTCATCAATTCCACAACATTCCGCAACATCACTTATCTCATGAAGGCCTGCGAATAGTTTCTTTCTCATTCAGCATAACTATGGAAATCACATTGTTTCGAGAGGTTAAAGATCGAACTAGCCATGAGCCATGGCTTCCAATAGCGAATTGTTCAATTACCAGATGTTATGTTCCAATTACATTCCATTGGCATCCATTGGCATTCCAGTTGTAGTTATAAAATCTCATATAATAATATTATACATATACATATACATATATATATATATATATATCATATATCATATATATATATAGTCCAACTATATTCCAAGTGTAGTCTATGTATTCCAATCAGTCATTGTTGGAGAATCCCCCATGCTTGGTTTCCATGAATGGCAATGAGATGGAAACAAACATCAGTTCCAGTTTTCGTAGGATCGAGACGACATGATCGCCAAGATGCGCAACGATGATCTGCAGGAGACCAGCTGGATCTGAATGCGAGGCAGTGCCGCCCCCAAGTTGTAAGTTGGTTTACTGATCCACTATATAACTGTTAAAAGCCTCCAAATACCAATGAACATGGGTAAAAACACCCAAAGGTGTATTATTACTATTACCTCATTTTCTAGGCACTTGGAGGTCTATATAGCAGGAATTCATTACCACGCTGCTTCGTTAGCCTATAGTATCTATATATTTAAAATCCAACTTAGCTAACGACCTGGGGCACCACCGTGCAATCTCCATCATGATGGGCGTAACCAATATTTGCCAACCATACACCTCGAGGCATCCCGTTAAATCACCATTTCTGTTTTCGTGAAATTATCATGGAAAATCACCATCACTTCTGTTCCCATATGCTCCATGTATGGTATATTTACCTACATTTGGGCCATTTATGGGGTAAATGTAGGTAAATATTCCATATATGGAGCATATGGGGTTGGTTCAAACACCACAACCACCCCCGCAGTGCAGCTATCCCGGCTATCCCCAGCTCCGTTTCAGGAGGAGCGTCGTCAGGCAGCGAAACGCGAATGGCTGCGCCAATTTCGCGCGACAACGGATGCTCGGGAGGCGAGGTGCAACTGATGAACATCACCCGTTTATTGATGTTTTTTGATAGGAAAATCCACTGCTAAAGAACAGATGTGGGTAAAATTCAATGCCATAAACCATCACCAAAATCAACATAAATAGGTGGTATAGTATAAACAATTCCCAGTCATGGGTGGTTTATTATTGTTTTACCCACAGTACAGTAAATATAGGCCCTTTTTTTCCATGGCCACGTTCAACTATGCAAAGGGTATGTAGTTGATTATGTATTATTATGTGAGTGACGGCTTTGATTATTGTGAAGTGAAGAGTGGTTTGGGGGTATATCGGGTTGCCGAAAAGACTAGAGTTAGGTTGCAAAACGAGGCATTCGTAGGAACACCCCACCCCGAGAACCGTAGGCAAAACGAGGTCTGCGAATGGAAAACGAGGTGTTCCTGTAGGAACACCCCGTTATGTGATGTGCCAAGTATTTTTCCGTGGCTGTATCAAAATATCATATGCTTCAATTATTTGCCGTTATTTGCTGACTGGTGGTTTGGAACATTTGTTATTCTTCCATGTATTGGGAATATTCCCTACAGCTCCAAACACCTTCTGAGACTGTATTTGGGGTTGTTTTTTGGGCTCTATTTACACCTTCTCAGAAGGTATTTGGAGCACGTTCGGGAATAATCCCAACTGACTAATATTTTTCTGAGGGGTAGGTATACCACCAACCAGTTACCATTGGTGTATACAAATATGTGACATTAAAATTATCTGATGCAGGATGGTGCCCCCCAGTTATAAGTTAGTTTATAAACCCAAGTAAGTATAGTTATAAGTACCATTGCCATAGTTATTGGAGTTATAAACCAACTTAGCTATTTTGGGGGCACCACATTGTGTTGTTTTCCCAGTTTTACAAAAACGTGGCTGGCCTTTTTTTAGTCTCCACCTCCCAGGCCAACTATATGGCCATCGCGGGTCGCAACTCAGCCGCAACGCCGGTTGCAAGGTCTTTGCTCCAACACCTGGTGAATTTGTTGGGAAGATCCTGTTTAGATCTGTTTAGATCCGTTTTTTTTTTCTCGATTTCCTCTGAGATCTCTGAGTTTCCCTTTGGGAAAGTCACATAGCAAAGTGGAAAATCATGGAAAATCATCGTTCTCATTTTGAATAGGTCAATCATCGAATGAAACTGGCCATCTATGCCTTATAGCATCTTATAGATATCTTATAGCTATGGTAGTTTACCGGAGAGCACCTTGGACACCTAATAGGGATCAAATTTGCATCCTTTCACCACAGGCGACATGGACTTGCGAAACACACAGGAAGCTGAAAGACAAGATCGTGGGGGAACTCAGTGCGAGGGACGCCTTTCTTGGCCAGACACTTTTGTTCTTTTTACAATATGGGATTTTGACTCAACTGGGAATTTACGTAGGATTAGAACTGTCCAAGTTGTGTAGGAGACAAACACCTGCAACAAATTTATGCTGCTTTGAGGGGCAGAAACAAGTAGTCCCAGAATTGGTTGCAGGATGTTGCAGGGCAAAATTGCCAGAAGAGTCCCCAAATGTCATGGTCTAAGACGTAAATTTCCCGGGACAGTTCTTTGGAACCGATCCATTGATCGAGGAGATGAGAAGCACCACAACCTACGGTTGGACCTGCATTACTCCAGGTGCGGCTGGACCTATGGGCAGTGATGGGATCAGGCGGTGTGCCAACTTGTGCCAGAAATCCCAACTTTTAGATATGTTTTGAATTATATTCTATACCACTTTTGCCACTTTCAAGTTGCACTTGGGGGGTTGAATTATATGTATACCGTATTATACCTTCAATATCATTGACCATGAATATCATATTAGAATTTACTGTGTATGTATATATATATATATTTATACATATATATATATTTATACATATATATATATATATATTTATACATATATATATATTTATGCATATACACACGAGAAACATCGGAAATCTTTGGAACTACACAGGGCGCCCCTGGGGCGCTGCCCCCTTTGCCGCACCACGCTTGCCGCACCTTTAGGCGTGCGGCGGCACGGAAGGAACAGCAGGATCGAGTTTTGGGCGACATGCGAATGCAGCTGCTTGGTGAGCGTGGCATAGCGTGGGCGCCACGGTTGAAACATTGGGAAATCTATAGAAATCTACTATTTATAGATGGTTAATGGGATTTAATGGACTTTAATGGGATTCTATGGATAATAATGGAACATAAAGTATGATAATGGTTGATAAGGGTTGATAATGGAACAATAGCCAACAGGAATGGGTGAATAATGGATAGTTGTATTACCCTCTGGTAATTTGTTGCACTTTGCTATTGAACATGGCCCGTAGAAATAGCATGAAATAGCTGATTTACCGAACTTAAAGATGGTGATTTTCCATGATTTTCTGGTATGTTAGTTTACCAGAGGGTACTATGGATTACTACAATTTTACTCTCAGATTGATGCAAAATTTCCAGGCAGAATCACGTGGATTCTGGCAATGATTTCTTTAGAGTCAATGTTGAATCAGTGTTTCATCAGTGTGGGTTTCTTTTGGTGTTGCTTGGGGTGGAAACCGGGGTTTCTCCGGAGGTTTTGTCATGATTTTCTGGCTGAAAGCATGAATCAGCATAGAAACAATGGCGATTGACAGTGGGAAACAACTAATGATGATGGGTGCATTATGACTGTCATGGTGTGAACCAATTAGAAATCAATCGTCTCCAAATATTGATTTCCCCAGTGTTGAACATTAACGTGGGTGGCTCTTGTTTTTTTGGTTGCACCGCTATACATCAAGCGTTTTTCGCGACGTGAACGCACCTATATAATTATATATTAGTCTTGGTGAATCCCGAACCTCCGCGCCAAAAGAATATCAACACCTGTTTAACACCCGCATTTGAACAGCTTTCACATGCTTTATACAACCTAGTTTTTGCCAATGAATCACAATCCTCAGGCTTCCATCTAGTGGTTCCCTTCATTGCTCCCATCTTCCATCCTCAGGTTGGGTGCTGCAGACGATACGCGCGAGCTGGATCGACTGCGGCAGGACTGGTCATGACTGGTCAGTGGTCATGCCCAGTAGAGGGACAACTCCACAACTATGGGACTAAAGTGACCATAGTGACTATATAGATGTCTTTGGAGGATGAGCCTGGCACTGGCGCAGGGCCCCAGTGAAATATGTTTTTGGCAATCTTAGTGGCTAAGATTTGTTCCTTGAAGAGAACTTGAAGATTTGTAGCTCGTTTGTTTGTGCCATGATGTGCGCCTCTTGTTTATTGCCATATTCTGTGTATCACACATACTGGAGGCCCATGATTTTATTCATTGGAGCAAATTATTCCGATGCTACTGACCAACTTCACTGCAACAATGATGGTTCGGAAGGAGAATCACTGACTGTAGGTGACTGTTAATTCGAGAAGTCATCCGAGAAATGCAATATTTTATCTTATTTCCTTTCATGTCATGTCCAATCTTTGCACTACAATGATTTGCCTATAGACATATTTGGCAGATCCCAAGCCATGGAATACCCTGTGTATTCTCAATCTGACCAATTGATTTGCCCACATGATAGGAGCGAGAGCGGCACGCCGCCAACCACGCGGCCCGGACGGCGGCAGAGACGGAACTGCAGAAGCACCGCCACAAGCGGGGCTTGGAATTGCAGATGCAAGCAGAATTAGTGGCTTGGATTGGATCATGTCGATCACGTGGCAAACCAAACGCCACAAACCTTGGAATATGGAGAATGTTGTGCCAAGGAATGCCATAATTGGTTGGTGATTTATGGGATGTCTTTTTTAACCCATCATTTATGGTAATATTGGGGAACCTATTGCTGAGTTTACCACATTCCAAGAATTGGATCAATAATGGACCCCCATGTTTTTTTTTGAGTGGGGGGCGCAGTGCCATTTTAGTAGCAGATTACATACTTATTTGAGGGGAGCACCAATCCTTGATTAACCAGGATTTATGCATCCGGGGTTGACATTACATGACATTACTGGTACTGATATGTAATATATATATAATACTTCCAAGCCACTGCTAATGTCAAGGATCACCCCTGTGCGATGAAAATAAGAAAGGCAAGTTGTGCGGTGCGAAGGTCTATGGCACCTTCACAGGTGGCAGATACCATGGGTGCCTGCTGTCTGCCAGAGGCCCAGATGATGATGGACAAGCAGAAGCGAGACAAGGGTGAATTGGATGGTCCCAAGTCTCGAATCACCGCTTTATGCTCCATGGTGTCCTGGCATTGCGATTGACAAGGCTCCCTCACCCAAAAAACAACCCAAAGATGGCTTTGACATAGTTGGGTGGTTTTGGTTTGTTGACTAAGTTGCCAAATCTTTGAACACAAAAAGCGAATCAGATGGCATTTGTCCTGGTGACAGGAATTATATAATGGCTGTGGCCCAAACATAGTTATCTCCAAATCGGATGGTTTCATGCTGAAGATGACCAATATGTTTCCTCCTTTCAAGGACCTTTATCAAAGAAAAGATCCAAGAAAAATCAGGGATGAATGCTATGCATAGAAAACATACATGCTTGCAATCACACACATAAATTACATTACATTATATACATTACATGACATTACATAACATTACACTACATGACATGACATTGCATGACATGACATGACATGACATGACATTACACACACACACATATGCATATATACACACATACTATATATATATATATAAATATGAACCTAAACTCCACCCACATCCTGTCTTCGGGATATATAAAACATGGACGCAACGATCCTGTTCAAACAATCCTCTGATATACTGTGCACCTCCCAAGTCAACATGACATTTTTTAATACGAAAAACAGCATGATCCCAAGATCATTAGGAGGCAATCCCCCCACAAAAAAATATATACATAAGAACATAAGAACATATAAGAACCAAAAAAAGAGAAACCTTCCGTAATCCCCAAAAAACCCAAAGTCAGCCCATGACCTGGAGATACCTGGGTGCCGCCCCTGAGGCCATCGACCAATCCTTCGTGGAGATGACCAAGGCCCGTGCTGAGGGCAAGGCCTTGCCATCTAAGCAGGCCATGCATCAGCTGGACGCGTCCAAGGATTTGAGTGTCTTGAAGCGAATAAAAGCGATGTCCAACCAGTGGTTGATGAATAGAGGCTTAGTGTAACCTATGTTAACTAGATGATGGTAGATGATGGTAACTTATAGTGACTATAGACAGGCAAACTAGATGATGGTGGATGATAGTAAGGCAAACCGGCGCCTCTAGTTTTCCGAAATGAACAATATTGAACAGATGATGAAAACCATTCGTGTTTTTATCTGCAAAGATGGTGATGTATATTTGATTTTTGCATCAAGGATGGTGTTTGTTCATGATTTCATTGTGGAAAGTGGGTTCTCAAGAAGACTGACAAGCTTGAAAACCACGGATACAACATGATTGTTTAGCATGATTCAACCATCAAGTTAGTTGTAGTTGATAGTTTGCATTGTCGTCGACACATGCACCATTTGGGTTTGTCTGAAAATTGGGTAGCCCGCCCCTAAATCCAGCAAATTGGTCAATCATGCATTGCCCTATTAGAAAAAGTAATGTTTAGGGGCCGGGTATATTCCATTTTCAGATATGCTATTCGCTTATTGTTGATTATTACTAGCACATCCCACAATCTCTGATGCAGCCCCACAGAATCACTGGTTTCCCCCATCATTTTGTCGGCTAACTTTCCCATTTTCAGACTCAGCCATGTCATAGTTTTGCTTATCTTGGTGCAAATCCCACTACATTCATAATATCCCCATTATGGCTTATATCTTATAACTTATATATATATATATACCTACCAATATACCTATAATACATATATATATATATTATAACAATTTTGGGGCATATATATATATATATATTATACACATATCCCCAATATAATTTATTCCTATTATCCCTTGTTCTCCCAATAAATTATAATTATTTTGGATATAATATATATATATATACATATATATATACAATATATATATATATCCATCCAATATATTAATATATATAAGTGTTTTCCCTACATCTACGTATATATATATATATTATATCCATTATATCATTATATCCCAATAAACCAGCGCCATGTTTGATTCCTTGGTTCGTATTCACCGAAGAAGCCGAGGTAAACCTTTGGGGAAGCCACGTGTGAAACCCTGGGTTGATATCGCCAAAAGCCACGGGCCTGGAGGTGGCTCGTAAGGAAAAAAAAAAAGGAAGAACGTTTGTACGTGCTAGAGTCCCCAAACGTGGAAATGGCCATTGATGTTCATCCATGTTGATCAATTTTAATTATTCCATATTATTCCCATCAGTTTACTGAGGTTCTTGATATGTTTCTATCGTCCAGAAATTCAGCATAGAGATGAACAAAAACCATCAAAAACCCACCATGAATCATATGGTGTTTCCCCACACCTTTTCCATGCATTTGGGATGGTAGTGGTGGTGGGAAGAGAAGAATTGGGCTGGAGAGGTAGCTCAGAGGAGAAGAAGAAGAAACTCAGAGAAGACTTAGCTGAGTGAAAAAGTAGCTCAGGGAAAATATGTTGCGCAGAAAAGACGTTTCTCAAAAAAGTAGCTTAGAGTAGAAGTCGCTTGGAAGAGAAAAACATGTTTGTTAATTCGTTCATTCATTTATTCTTTCATTATTCATTGAGTCAGTCAGGCAGGCAGTCAGTCAGGCAGTAGAACAGTCAGTCATATGTAAAGTTGTCAAATGTCAGATATTGTCGTTCACGCATCTCACTCCGCTCAGTCAGTCATTCATTCAAAAGACTTTCTTCAGGGTTGCTCCAATCCAATTGCAGACAAATGATAGCCACAAAGGGGGTCTATTAGTCATGTTGCCTCTATATTTACCCAATTTACCCCCCTTGTACCTGCCATTTTTGGAGCAACCCTGTTCTTAGAGGCCCTGAATGGCCTAGACAAGCTACTTTTTTCCGAAACTTCCTAGGTAGATAGATTGATAGATAGATGGATAGATGGAGACAGAGATAGAGAGATAGAGAGATAGTGAAGTAGATAGATGCATCGATGGATATAATTATATATATAGATGCATCATGATGCATGTATATATATATATATATATGGATAGATGAGTGGAATATTAAATAGATAGTAGGGATCAGGATGTAGAGATGTACCCTCTGGTAATTTAACATAGCTATTGAAAATTGCCATAGAAATAGTGGATTTTCCCATTAAAAATTGTGATTTTCCAATTAAAAATGGTGATTTTCCAATTAAAAATGGTGATTTTCCCATTAAACGTTTACCAGAGATGTAGAGTGCCTTCATCCCTCAGGCGTGGTGGGCGTTTTCGGCGGTGACGGCCGGGTGCACCAGAGTTTGATGGCTACTGGTGGCTCCAGACGCATCCTGACCAAAGATGCGGCACCTTGGACTTGTTTTTCTGAGGAAGTCATAGGTTGAAATTGAGTTTAGCATAGTTTATCCAAGAATAATATGCAAGTACCAAATTTTAATTTTAATGGTTTAAACATGTTCGAACATGTTTGAAACCTCATATTCCCCATGAAATGGCTATTCAAAGAGCATACCCCATTTTCAGACACATCCAATTTTTCGTTGGAGATTTGGCTGCTTTACTCCGGTTGGTTCATCAATGTTCATCACGTTTTGAATGATGATTTTTAGGACTGCAACATTGACGAGGAGGACAAACACATTACCCCTCTGGTAAACGTTTACATAACTATGGGAAATCACCATTTTTAATGGGAAAATCAACTATTTCTATGGCCATGTTCAATAGCGATGTTAAATTACCAGAGGGTAATTAGTGAAAACATTGTTACAAATTGTAGACCTTTGTCCCTTTGCATGTTTCTATGTTTTTTTCCCCCAAAAGGTGGGAATGATTTGGTTTTTTATGATGGTGGCCATTACAAAGGTTATAAGGTGGTATTACTTGGTGGTTTAATCATCGTATAACCATTACAAAGGGATCCCCCACACTGATGATGGCATTTGATCGCCCTACTTGTTGAGGCCCGAAAGACGTGGTCGGAAGGCATTTCCAAAGTGCCTTGGCATCGCTTCATTTCCAGATGAAATGTTGCATACCTAGAAGAACCTTTAGGGGTAGTCACAGGTATCAAATGTTGATCTCCCAAAAACAACCATTGAGAGTTTGATATATATATATATATACACATGTATGTATAGACGTGTGTGTGTGTGTGTCGAGGCTCAAAGAAAATTAGCATAGATTCAGACAATCCAGCATTTGTAGATAGTTTTCTTTTGTTTTCACCCGGGGTTTCCATTTTTCCTCTTGCAATCTTTTGGATCTTCTCTGATGTTCGTAACCGATCTTCCCAGCACGTTCAATGGGCCGGGCCTCAAGGAGCAGCTGAAGGAGGGCGAGAAAACAGCGGAGCAGCGACATGCGGCGAAGCTGCTCGACAAGTCCGATTTCTGAGGACACCAATGGCACAGACCCCGGAGACCCATCGATCCGTGTTACGCCTATGGAAAAACTATGAAAAACTATAGGGAAAAAATCAATAATCCCTTCGGAATTTTAGAATAGTTAACTATTTAGAATGCTCAGAATGAATAGAAACTACTTGTAAAAATTACTCACATTTTTTCATCCAAATTTGGGGTTGAAGATGGGCCCAGTTGGCGCGAAGCATCCCCTGAAAGGTAGCATGACATGTCTTGTCTGGGTATACCCTAGTGAAGGGTCCGTGCATGTGTTTTGTTTTTATTCCAAGGAATACAAGAACAAGCCCTGGATATCTAATTTGAGGATATTTGAGGTAAGGTCTTTGTTTCTTTGGTAAAATTATTTGTGACATATGATTCTTCGAAATCACAGCGATGCACAGGTTTGGGGTCTGGGTCACAGCACTCAACGCGCATTTGGTGTGGCCCCCTGGGAAACCCAAGCGGTCATGCCAGCAGGTGCGAAATGACCAGGAATGTGGATTTTTAGCACATCCAACTTGAATTTATATTAGAAGGATATAGAAGGATGATTTTACACTTTGATACGTGCACATTAGTGCACATTATTAGTTGTAGTTGAATGAAGTTGAATGCATGTTGCAAGATGTTGCTGCTAAGACAGGAGCACATAGTATAAATATGCATACATATACAAATAAATCCAGTATTTAGTATATCATATATACATACATGCATGCATACATAATTACATAGTTACTGTGTGCATAATTACATACTTACATGTTCGTTTATGCACCCCAAAACTCTCCATGTTGAACATGTATCACCCGGACCAGCCGGAATGTTTCACCCTCTAGTGGCATCTCAACGGTGGGTGCCAGTGGCAACAAAAAGCAGCCGTTGGGATTGGGGACATGATTGATTGCCGCTTGCTTATTATTTTAGGCATTTTAGGATAATTATTTAGGTTCAGGTGTGACTCAAAATACTTCACTCCATCATATATTAGTTATATACGTATAGTATATATATATATTTATTTATTTATACATGACAGACAGAGACAGAGAAAGATACAGAGACAGAGAGAGAGAGAGAGAGAGAGAGAAAGAGAGAGAGAGAGAGAGAGACAGCCAGGGAGAGAGAGAGAGAGAGCGAGAGAGAGAGAGAGAGAGAGCCTAGATTAGATAGTTTACGGGTGAGCCAATTGAATGCATTCGTTCAGCTTGTCAAAGGTATTGTTGTGTAAGTAAGTGTGTGTGTGTGTGGATGCCTGTTGTGCCTTAGTCTTGAGCCATTTGCAAGCCGGTGCTTGTAATGATTTGCGCCAAGGTGGCGCATACCGTTCGGTCGGGGGACCTGATTGAGCATCACACGCAGAGTTATCACGGATGCTCACTGAACTGTGATGCTTCAGCCGGCATGGTTGAAGATGTTTTTTTTTTTTCTTTTCTGTTCTTTTTTGTTGTTTTTTTTGTGGGGGGGGGAGATAAATCAAACATTATTTACGGCGGAGTCTGCTGGTGAAGAATATGTTTGGCTTCTTGTATGCATGAAGTGTGCCAAGTTTCGCATGGACACCACGTCAAGTGATCTCAGCAATTCCACGAGCAGGATTCACTGATAGGATGGTTTTGCGTTGACCGATTTTGACTAGTTTTTTTTCTATGATATGCGATTTTGTCCATTCAAAATGTGCTCTGACACAGTGACACAGAATTCTTCTAGATCTCAAGGGATACTGACCGTAGAATGTGAAACCATTGCAACTCCCACATTTGTCGCCGCAGAAACCGTGTCCTGCCCTGAACTCAGTGCAGTTTGCGTCCTGGCCGGAGTTCATGGCGGCACGCCATGGGAGAAAAACTTGGCAATATCTGATGGCATGTGTTCTTGTTGTCTCAGGTGCCTTGGTGATGGTGGTTTGAGCGGGGCAATGCGTCACCACTGGAATGATGGGCTCAATGGATCTGAATGTTTTTTTTTTTAATCACCACCCCTTTAAGGTTACTTGTCAGGGGGGACCATACATGTAATGTTGGTTCCTGATTAGTGTGTGGCCCCCCCCCCTCCCCTAAACTATATCTGGACTCTCTTTAAAGTAGAAAAGCAAAAAAAATCTTCCCAAAAGAAAAACATATGCTCGATTAAGTAAGGATTTCAATTGGCTACAATGGAAATCTAATTACTATTGTTTTTTTTGCCGATGAAGTTGTGGTATTTGTAGTACTTGAGTACTTGTAGTACTTGTAGTACTTGTAGTACTTGTAGTACTTGTAGTACTTGTAGTACATGTAGTACTTGTAGTACTTGTAGTACTTGTAGTACTTGTAGTACTTGTAGTACTTGTAGTACTTGTAGTACATGTAGTACTTGTAGTACTTGTAGTACTTGTAGTACTTGTAGTAGTACTTGTGTACTTGTAGTACTTGTAGTACTTGTAGTACTTGTAGTACTTGTAGTACTTGTAGTACTTGTAGCACTTGTAGTACTTGTAGTACATGTAGTACTTGTAGTACTTGTAGTACTTGCAGTACTTGTAGTACTTGTAGTACTTGTAGTAATTGTAGTACTTGTAGTACTTGTAGTACTTGTAGTACTTGTAGTTCTTTAATAAGGGTTTAATAAGGGATTGGCTCCTTTGGGAAAGGCTTGGAGTTTGAATTTGGCAATTGCCTTTGGAAAAGGCTTGCTTCCCTTCTGGGCTTCCAGGGGCTGCTCTGGCACAGCTTGCTGCAATAGTGAACCCAGCAAACAAACCTACTAAAGTGAAATGGAGCCTCTCCTGGTCCAGGGCCTTGGAAAATTGTGGAAAAGCTGTTCTTTAATAAGGGTTTAATAAGGGATTGGTTCTTTTGGGAAAGGCTTGGAGTTTGAATTTGGCAATTTTGGAAAAGGCTTGCTTCCCTTCTGGGCTTCCAGGGGCTGCTCTGGCACAGCTTGCTGCAATAGTGAACCCAGCAAACAAACCTACTAAAGTGAAATGGGGCCTCTCCTGGTCCAGGGCCTTGGAAAATTGTGGAAAAGCTGTTCTTTAATAAGGGTTTAATAAGGGATTGGTTCTTTTGGGAAAGGCTTGGAGTTTGAATTTGGCAATTTTGGAAAAGGCTTGCTTCCCTTCTGGGCTTCCAGGGGCTGCTCTGGCACAGCTTGCTGCAATAGTGAACCCAGCAAACAAACCTACTAAAGTGAAATGGAGCCTCTCCTGGTCCAGGGCCTTGGAAAATTGTGGAAAAGCTGTTCTTTAATAAGGGTTTAATAAGGGATTGGTTCTTTTGGGAAAGGCTTGGGGTTTGAATTTGGCAATTTTGGCAAAGGCTTGCTTCCCTTCTGGGCTTCCAGGAGCTGCTCTGGCACAGCTTGCTGCAATAGTGAACCCAGCAAACAAACCTACCTTGACTGAGCTACAGCGTTTTTGAGAAAAGAATGCCTCTCAGCAATTACAGTTTTTTTGCAAAAAAAAGGGCTCTCCCAATTTTGTTTTGCCACAAAAGCGAACCCTCCAAACAATACATGAGTTTCAGAATAATTTGGAAAAAATTTGCCACAATAGCGACCCTAGGTACTAATCAGGACCCAACATTAAGATACATTTTTGGGGAACCCCCTTTATATAAATGTAAAATTTGATCCCTGAACGTCCCCCTTTTGGGTCGTTTTTGTGGGGAGGGTCTTAAAAATACCTTCAAAATGTAAGCTTACATTTTCAAGGCCCCCTTCAAAAACACATTGAAAAATGTAGCTTACATTTTGGGTACCTCCTCCCCTTAAAACGGTGGTGATTATATATATATATATATAAATGTATATAACATAACATTATATATTCGGGATATATAACTATCCCATAATGGTCGAACTTTGCATTTGGTTAGTATATGGAGAACTGATGCAAATTGTTTGACTTTATGGGCATGAAGATGTGTCCCTATGCCCCACTAGATTTGCACGGGACACGGGAAAGGAACCACTCAATTTCTTCGTCTGTGGGGCAGCAAAAGTGTTTGTCTGAAAATAGGGGACCCCCCAGAAAAAATGCTGCTTATCATGGTCTATCACCATGTTTCCATCTTGTTTCCCATGAGAATAGCCACAAATTCGAGTCAATCATCATGTTTATTTTATCATTGCCCACAGGATGGTGCCCCCCAGTTATAAGTTGGTTTATAAACCCCAGTAAGTATAGTTATAAGTACCATAAACCATAGTCATTGGAGTTATAAACCAACTTAGCTATCGACTGGGGGCACCTTGCAAAATCAGCCCCCAACTTGTTCCATCATGTTTTCAATGGTGTTTCCCATAAAATCCCATAAAACAGACCATGTTTTGCCAGCTCCCCAGGTATCAGCTGCTTCCCCGGCTTCGTGGCCCCTTCCACCGGAGCCGCGCCGTGGCGCCTCCCCGGAGCTCGGGCAGAGCCCTTGGAAGCGCCGAGCCGAGCGTCGCTGCAGCTGTCGGTGCTGATCGTTGGCGCCGGACCGGCAGGTGCCCAGGGCTCGCCTCTCCCAATGGTAGCGGAATGGATGTGAAACATTTGTCATTTTTCCATATATTGGGAATACCCTCTGGTAAACTAACATAGCTATTGAAAATCACCATTTTAATAGGTAAAACATCTATTATAAATGGTCCATTTTCCATAGCTATGTTAAATTACCAGAGGGTAATACTCCCAACTGACGAACTCATATTTTTCAGAGGGGTTAAAACCACCAACCAGTAATGTGGTTAAAACAATGTCATAAACCAGCATGACTGGGAATGGTTTATACCAACTGTTTTTGGTGATTTGGGGGATGGTTTATTATTACCCACATTAATATATTTCTGTGAGATAGTTCATGTTATTTTTTTATTCTAACAATGAATGGGATGTTTATATGGCACCATATCATCCAATGATATTTAATATGTGAGAATGAATTGGATATTTATATGATACCATATGATAAACATGATCATGGGATAGTCCATAGTTGATATCCCATAATTGATATTTGGTACCATATCATCTAATGATATGATATAAATATAATAATGATGGTACATGTTTCATGATAATTATCATAAGTTGATCATGTCATCCAATATACGGGGTAAATCAACCAGCAAAAATTAGCATCGTTATAAACTCACTTATCTAGCTCAATCCCATTAAATCACGATTCAAACACCCTACTCCAATCACTAAATCCCGGAAAAACTTCGATTTTTTGCCTCTAAAGATACTTATCTGAGTCACTTCCTTACCCTCTGGTAATTTAACATAGCTATTGAAAATGACCATAGAAATAGTGGATTTCCCCATGAAAAATGGTGATTTTCAAGAGCTATGTTAGTTTACCAGAGGGTAAACCTCCATTTTCCTATGGTTTTCCCATGGTTTTCCCATGGTTTTCCCATTAAAACCACTAGTGATCAGCCATCTCCAGGTCTGCTGCTGGCGGATCGGCTGCTCTCCGCCGGTTGCAACGTGCACCTGGTGGAGGCGCGCCAGGACCCGCGCGAAGGCGCCCTGGAAGGCCGCGCCTACGCGCTGGGGCTGGGCATTCGCGCGCAACGGGCCATCAGGAGCGGGAGTCGTGCCAGCCACATATTATATATTTATATAGAGTATAATATATATTTATAGTATAATATAATATAATATAACATAATATAATATAACATAATATAATATAATATAATATATATATATACTATTATATATAGACTATTGAAATCAGGGTGAAAGGGCTTCTACTTCAGGTCATCGTGGATTCAGGGATAAGTTGAGTGATGAAGATCGCCACGTGAAGGCCCAAGACGTCCTGAGAGTATCTCACCCCAGGTGGCCTGGAAAGTCGCTAGTGGTCCGACTGCCCGCAGGACGTTGGGGGACGAACTCTGGGAGAGCATCAAACCCAGCGGTTTCGCCTCGGAACGTTTCAAGCTTCACATCTCGGAGAAGATGGCAGCAGGGCGGGCAGAGCTGGGAACATCTTAGAGATCTTAGAGTGGGAGAAAGATGTGGCGGAGGAATGGATGATGTGAGATTCAGGTTTTCCGTTTTATTGGCCGTGTAATTATATAATTACAGGCTGATGACTCATAGGTTTTTGTTTCGGGGCTGTAGGATATACAAATGCCACCAGATGGCACCAGGCTTCCCAGAAGTCAGGAAAATGTGAAGGCAGGCCTTGCTTCATGGGGGTAAAGTGAATAAATGAAAACATGTTCCAGGAACCCAATGGATCCTTCCGGTTGGAGGATTTGGAGGGCTGTTATAACTTCGAGATCACTGCCAATAGTTGCATGGATGCCAGATGCGTTTGATTCTTAAGGCATTCACCCACAAGACCCGCCAGCCATGACCCTACAGAGGCCATCGATCTGCGGACACCAGAGGACAACAATGGCCTGGAGCCGAGCCTTTGGTTGTCTACTTTTTCCATGTTTGGTGATTATCAAAGACCTCAGATGATCCTAGAAGTTAAGGGTTGGGCTGTCGGCTCCAAGTCCGAAGTGGTCTTCTAAGTGCCCTGCTAGAATCCCTTCCAAGGCTCATAAAATTATAACAATTCTCAGGGGTTACTATTTACTACCCACATTTGAAAAACTTACACTGAGGAGTTTGCTGATCTATCAGTCGGACTTGTGCTCCGCCATGCTGGATCACCTAGAATCCAACCAGCAAGGCAACTCCGAGAAGGGAGGGGGTGCCGGTTTTGGAGCAGAGATCAGCAACTTGCATGATTTTACACCAGGTGTATCATGGTGTATCCTTGTTATCCTTGTTTATGTTTTGTTGTCAGGGTTTTTGGATTTAAAAGTTTTAAATGTGTTCATATTGGCCGTTTGTTTTTGAGTGCTTTGGGTTTTGTTTCTAGTCCACGGTTCACATCAGTGATATGAAGTAGCTGGTGGGTCCAAATTCGCATCAAACATATTTAACGACTTTAAGGGTTGATTTGCGCAGATTAGAACATCGGCACTGAACCACCTTGGAAGCGGAAACTGCCTCCGCCACAGCCGTGTCCATTGTGTTGGGAGGCGCTGGGAAGTTAAAAATCTCCTTCCAGAGCAAGTTGAAGTCGTTGGATACTTCCACAGGTGGGCCAAGGATAGAAGGGCAACCTCCTGCAGCCCCCAAATCACAAGCTCTCATGCTGTCTTTGTAGGATGAGTTACGGGACCGCTTTTAGGATTTCCCATCGTGTTTTTTTTGGCTGAATTCCGGGGTTGACATTGTTGAAATGTTGGGAACACACGTTTTAAACAGCCTAAAACATATTTATGGTTATACTATATAGTTATATATAGTTATGTTTTATACTTATTCATACTTATTCTATAATTGTATTGTAATATGGTTTTGAACACATTTATTGTGGTTCACATTGGACAAATAGCGGTAGTGCCCATGATTTCCCAGGCGTCGCGACGCTTCAGTCCGGTGACACGCTGTCGGAGTTGCCGGCTGCGGATCTGGTGGCCGGCTGCGATGGCGTCAACTCGGCCCGGTGGCGAAGAAAATGATGGGTTGACCTGGGTGGACCCGGCAAAAGTGCTATGAAAATCCCATATGGGTATGGGTCAATACCTATAAGTACCATTCTTAGTGGGATGAACATCCATTTACCAGCTATTTTGGGGTTCACTAGGTACCATGGTTTTGACCCATCCCCATATGCTAACATGACTGGGGTATATGGATGGGATCCATGTTATCATATATAGCAGCACCATGGATCCGTCATGGGAATGTGTTAGAAATGGTGGCTTGACCCAGAAAAACATGTCACATCATTTCACCAAGATTGGGCATGTGGCATGATTTGAACTGGCCAAAAACACGGGGATTGAGATGGGTGAGTTTAGGGAGCTTGCCGGTGAACACTGGGATATAGGTCTGTCAATGAACTGGCCAAACATGCAGGTGAATCAAACCAAAATATACAAAAATGGGAGAGAGAGAGAGAGGTGTGTGTATGCAATGACCTGTCTATATTCCAAGCTGAAGTGGCTGGTAGTTTCACATGGGATATCCTCCACCTGGGATGATGGTACAAAAATATATTTCAAGATGGTTTTAACGACCAGAGACCAAGGAAACTTGGCCCCAAGGTCGGAGTCCATTTTTTTCTGGGTCCTGAGTTGATACTTTAGAATCTTCACAAAGGATTGATTTTTGAGCTGGTTTTGGGTGGAGATTCATTGTGAAAATTCAGTTTTTTATGTTGACCCGAAGTTGAGGAACCCAAGTCCAACAAGCGTTATTAAAATTAAGTTAACCCAAGATTAATGAAATATAATGAAATTGTCAATGACCTTGATGATTCATTGACATCTTTGATGTTGACCCACCCGTGCACCAGAAGGTAGTGCGTGCCAGCATCGCTGCTGCAAATCCAGCCTTCGAGGTGAGCTGGGAAACCCCCAAAGTCAATGGCCATCTAAAGGAGTAAATAGGGGAAATTCATGTTTCATGGATTTTCCGGATAGCCATATTTGATTCCCGAAGGGTATTGGATGTAGTACTGTAACTGCCATCCATAGACTATCTATAGTACTATAGGATCTATAGGGGTTGGTTGTCTACCATATCACTACTATGGACCTATCGGTGATGATAGATAATCTTCTTCGAGACGGTTACCCTTTTTGTTTTGGTGGAGTTTTTGCTTAGCGGCTTGGAGATGTGATTTCTCAGGCAACCAACGCTGATGAGGACTTTGACACCAAGACTGTGCACATGAGATATATCAACTATTAATTGTTATCGGTAGAAATATATAACTATGATTAATCTATTATATATAATTCACGTAAATAAATAAATAAATATATATATGTATATACACATACAATACGGGTGTACATTTTCCAGACCCCTCTTGACACCGCAGATGGGTAATCTAGAACAGTGCCATGTTCTTCGACAGCGCCAAGGGTGGTCTATCCCTTCGCCAGGTGGAGCAAACCAAATTGCCGGGAAGCTTCAAGGTCTTAAGGTTTCCCCAGCCGCTTGGCACATTGGCTGAGGCAACCAGTGATCTTTGTTGGTTTATAAAGCTGATGAAGTATATAGATAGATATAGATAGTATAGTTATATGTTATATTCCCATATATTCCCATATATTCCCCATGAACTATAGTTACTAAAGTTGTAAGCCAACTTAGCTATCCTTCAAACAACCTCACCTTGTAGGCACGGTCCCGTCCCAGGATGCCCTCGAAGTTGGACCCCAGCGCAGTACATGCGATCCCTGGGAGGCTCGGCGAGGCTCGTTGAGATCGATGCCCCGAGATCTGGTTTCATCCCCTATTTACCCTCTGGTAATTTAACATAGCTATTGAAAATCACCATCTTTAATGGGTAAATCAACTATAAATGGGCCATTTTCAATAGCTATGTTAGTTTACCAGAGGGTACCCCCTATAAATCATTGCAAATGTACCCTCTGGTAAACTGTTACATAACTATGGAAAATCCCCATTTTCAATGGGAAAATCCACTATTTCTATGGTCATTTTCAATAGCTATGTTAAATTACCAGAGGGTATCCGTGTTTTTTTTGTCCCCAGGTTTCATCTACGTTTTGAGGTGTCTTCAATTGGACCAGAGGGAATGGATCAATGAATAGCCTGGAGACATGAATAGACTCCTGGAGATGGCGATGGAGGAAGAGAGAGAGAGGGACAGAGAGAGAGAGAGAGCGAGACACAGGAAAAACACAACACAAAGCAGACTGCAAATCCTTTTATGGTTCTAAATGTATCTGAAAGTCTTAGGCTGGCGAAGTGATATCCGAAGGATTTCGTGTGGAGGTACTTGTTCATTGGTATATATATATATATAAATTATATATATATGCTATAAAGAACATATGCCCGTCACGATGGGCGATCGGGACAGGTCAAACTTCCAACACTGAATAGCTGGTGACAAGGCTACAAGACTGAAGCCCATCTAGCAGCATCTTCATACATATCAACCTTTCCATAATATCAAAATCCATACCCTTTGGCAATTAATGCATTTTATTTGTGTATCATATACAATCTATCATTGATATAACTTGCGATATAACCTATCATATAGGGTGTTTGTTTATGTTTCTCAGATCACAGCAACCTCCGCCATTTGTCGCCAAGGAAGGGCTCCACCTCCGCCTTCGTCGAACCCACTGCGCGTGACCTGGCGAAAAGAAATTCGACATGAGGTGTCCTGTATGTTTTTTTTCTCAAGATATATGTTATGTGGTAAACCTGCCATAAACTGTAAAATCTGTTATGCTATATGTTATACAACTGTCATATTATATATATATATGTTAGATACTCATGTGGGATTCAGCCAATGATCATTAAATGATTCTAACTGCCATGAAATTATAGCATTTGGGGATGATAGTTACCCTCTGGTAAATAGACATAGACCCTGAAAATCACAATTTTTCAATGGAAACTAGTCTTCCAACCCCTATCTGCCAGGGTACCATGGAGGGATGGTGATTGTCACAGGCGGCGCCTGCGCGCTCATCAACTGGCGAGATGGGGTTCCTAGGCCTCGAGAAGTCTTGGGCTGTTGGATCCGTGGCTAGGAAAGTCACCTATCTGGTTGGTGGTGACTGGAAAACCATAGGAAAACCATAGGAAAACCATAGGAAAACCATTGGTTAATGATGGTAAACAATGGTGAATAATGGTTATCAATGGCTGGTTGGTGGTTTGGAACATGACTGGATTATGACTTTCCATATATATTGGGAATAATCATCCCAACTGACTAGAATGTTCAGAGGGGTTGAAACCACCAACCAGCTATAAATCTGGGTAAATTTCATCACGACCGAACCCTGTTCTCCCGAGCCCTGGAATCATGGTTTTTATAAGAGAAATCATCCCAAAAAACGGTTAAACGGCCGAACCATTCAGGCTAGTGAAATATTATAGTTTACCCAGATAAATGAACATCTACATGGGAAAATCAATCGAAGGAAACGGAGGATCTGCCAGCAAGCTATATGTGATTTTTTTCAGTACCCGGAAGTTAACTTTTGCGAAATAGTTATTGTCCTAGGAATGTTGTTTGGGGAATGTTGTTTCATGTTGTTTCGACAATTTTTTGTCAAACCAACATTGTGGCAAATGAATTTGGTTCCGATTGTGTGTTTGTTTTTTTTTTGGTGGGGGGTGGTGTCATGTAGAAAATATCAGACCCATCCTTTCTATTACCGTATATTGTGAACTGCTGGAGAACAAAGCCTTAAACCCGCATTGGGTTTGAAAACTTCCTCCTGTACTTTTCCGCTCCATCCATATGTTTCCCTGGAATTCCCTCGAGGTGCGCAGTACCAGTAGATACCAGTAGGTAAATCTGGCAACTCAAGTCAAGGCCTTGGTTTCATGCTGTCCAAAGGTTGATACCAAGCCATTGCCGAATCTGGGCGAGCTGACTGAAAGCGCTGAAAAGGTGTGATGGAACAAACGGCTTGGGATGCCCCCTCCCGGTTCATAAGCGGGTTTACAACTCCCACGAACTAGATATATAATTAGGAACCAATCCTGTAGTTCACTATCATAGTTATTAACCAACTTGGCTCACTATGGGGCATCATTTGTTGGCTCTTAATCATTTCGCTGTGCTGGTCGTGGGAAACCTTGGGGCTGTCAAGACAGCACTGACAGGCGCGTGAGACCCTGGCCAGCTACTTTCCTTTGATTGAGGACGATGGGTTGCACGGTGTTATGTGGAAGAGCAAGAATTCAGGGTTTGTCCTAAAATTTAGGGGAAAATTCGGAAAACCATCCGAATCTCATGGTTGAGAAGATCATGTTCCACATTGAGTTGCCAGAATTTGGGGATAAATTACAATTTTCAGACAAACAAAATGATGCTTGGCCACCTTTCCAGGATGCCATCAACGAAGATGCCGGCCAGCAGTTTGTGAACCAGCAGGTGCCTGGATCCACATTCCAATACTGGACATGTCACACATGTCTCAATTTAAGAATTCTTTTCAATGGACTGGTTGATGGGAAAACCTACAGGAAACCATAGATTTCCATGATTTTCCCATTAAATATGGGTTTTCCTGTATTTTTTCCCTTAAGCCAATCCATTGATCTTTGTAACTTTTTTTTCCCTTCTCCACCTTATATATCAACCCCCAAAAAGATAGAAACGTTGGACACCTAAAACTTATGGCGAAAAGCATCATCGAACTACCATCCTGGAAATACTTTTTGGCATCGGGCATCGTTTTTTTTGGAGGGTTACTATATCCATCTATATCCCATAAATCCATATAAATCCCATTATGTCTCATTAATTATTTATATGTATATATGTATATAATATGTTATTTGCTTATGATCCTATAATAACCCTAAAGTATTCCCATATTTATGGTTGAATCTCCATTTCCTCACGAATTTACCACGACACGCTGTCGCAGGCATCACAAGCCTCCACGGTGAAGTGCAATAGCTACCACTTGGGCCGCGCCTAGGCCGCCTAGGACTCCCAAATGGCTTGGTTATGTGAATGGTTTGGTTGGGTGAATCTGAGATGAAGATTAGGATTGTGATTAAATTCAGCTTCAGGCAATCCAACATGATGCATATATCTATATATATATGCATATATTTTGAATAGATACTGTATTTGATGTGGTCAACCCAAGTGGTTTGCCTGATGTGTGAAAGGTAGACTGCAGGTCCCGGTCTAGTTTAGGATTGGGTTTTCCATCTGCATTCTTCGTCCAACATCCTCATTTATGAAAGGCGTTGCCTTTCATGATTGCAGTAAAGCACCAAGATCATTCAGAATTGTGCTTGAACCATCATAGACCCTAAGAAATCAAGTGTTTGTTCCTCACGGAACAGTGGTGTTTCTTGTCGAGCAGAGGGGCGGTCGGACCAGGGCACCTCAGTTACTTAGATGGGCCATGGAGTTAGTTAACTAGTTAGTAAATGGATTATAATTGGGATATAGAGGGTTATATACCCAGTTACTACCCTCTGGTAAACTAACATAGCTATTGAAAATGGCCATTTATAGTGAGTTTTCCCATTAAAAATTGTGATTTTCCATAGCTATGTTAGTTTACCAGAGGGTAGTTAATCCCATGGCCCATCGAAGTAGATTCACATCCCAGGTGCTGTCTTGCTGGGCGATGCAGCCCACTGCACCGGTGGCGTCAGTGGCCAGGGCTGCTCTTCAGCTATGAAGGACGATGCACTGCGTCACTGCAGTGCCGAAGTCGGAAAATCAGATTTGGGATTGATGGTTGAGAATAATATCTTAGATTGATATAGATTGAGTGAGAATGAGAATAGTGAGTAAAGATTTAGAATAGTCTCTTACATGAGTTGAAATGATGATTTGACGGGGGAAACTGATAGAGTAATAAACATTAATAAACTACAATAAACTATCAAACTGACGGCACACATTTTTTCACACTAAGCCACATGGAGGCTTACTGTAACCATTGAACATGTATGTTCCAACGTTTTTTTGGGTCAGACTTTGGTCATAAGTCTGCTGAAATTTGTCACTGGGAATCCGCTCCCATGATACACCGTGTGCTCGGGAACTCTGGTGTGGAATGCCCACGCAGTCGTCTCCAAAACCCAAACATCATGTGAGTTTACGACTGTATACGACTGTGATGGCATTGGAGCATGTTCAATAGTTCAATGATGTTCAATGCCACTTTCTTGGGCTTCCATGTTTTTTGAATGTTATAATATACCCTCTGGAAATTTAACATAGCTATTGAACATGGCCATAGAAATAGTGGATTTACCCATTAAATATGGTGGATCTTTCCATAGTTACGTTAGTTTACCAGAGGGTATAAGGGTATATATATAGAGGTGTCCTAAGTCATGGTGGTACCTCCAAATCATCCAGTCGTCGGTTACTGTAGGACTCAGTGGTGCTGGCCGAGCTGCTTCAGCCTGGGAGCTCAGCATTTGCGTGGTAAATCCAATACCATATAAATCACAACAAATGGATGTAAATGGCTTGTCGTTAGATCATGGTAGATTATTTTCATATATGTTTATGAATTATTTCTGTTATTTTGTATTTGTCGTGTTTTTGGAGGTTTCCATCTGCAAATTCGCCTCTAAAATTGCGATGGTTGAAGTTCAGAAAAATAATGCGATCTTCACAGTCTTGGAGGCACGAAGTGGGCAGTGGTCGAAGTGTCGCAGAAACCTTGGCCATGTACTCTCGGCAACAGGTGCCATGTTCAGCGGGCTGGATCCACTGGGTGACCAATAATCATAACGACCTCGCCACGACCTCACCATAGTTGACGCAGGTGAGCTGTTGAGTCCCAGGCTTAAGCCCCCCTAAAAGTATGTATATAGATAGATCCCTTTATCATTCCATAATCCCAGACCAAAGACCTTCTGAGACTGTATTCAGCCTTGGTTTTGCGGGGTCAAGTTTCACCTTCTCAGATGCTTTTTGGAGCAGGGAGACATCATCCCGTAGCCCCACAATCATTTCACCAAGTATACCCTCCGATAAAGAGAAATGTGGCTGGGAAATCCCCGAACTAAATGGAGGTTGAGCCTTGGCGGCAGGACAAAACATTGAGCTTTCTAGCTGGGAAAACCCTATTAAATCAACATTTCTGTTGGTTAAATACTATTAAATCATCATGTCTTTTGGAAAATCCCATTAAAATCCCATTAAATCATATTAAATCATCATTAAAAGCCCATTAAACTATCATATTAAGTCCCCTCAATCTACACAGCCCCCTACCGCCAGGTGCCCGAGGGCCATGCCCTGCTGGACCTCTCACTGGGCCCCAGTGCTGAGGTGGGCCCTTTGAAAAAGGCGCTCTACGGAGCTGAAGCTGGGCATGAAATCAGCAAGGGAAAACTTTACATGTTTTTTAATGTTCATTAGTCTGGGTAAATTATAACGACCTCACTGCGACCTCACTGGGAATCATGGTTAATAAGGGGAATCATCCCCAAATGGCCTTAATTCAGGTTAGTGAAATATTATAATTTACCCAGATTAAGTGGGGTACCCCCTAATTAACTTTTGACATGAACTTTACATGTTGACTACTCAAATAGGTACAATAAATGCCTATGATGGGATGGTTTAGAATCAGAGTGTGGTATTAATAATCATTGAGCTAACCTTCATATCAATATCAATCCCGGATTCATCAACCATTGTTTATTGATCCGGGGGGTACTTACTCCTCCAATCCAATGGTCATTATCTGATACTTTTTTATGGTAGCCTCCCAATTAAACAGCCTTTTGGGGTTTATGAACCCAGGGTTGACATTACTCAAATCTATCGGATGGTTGTTTATTTTTTGTTACCTGCAGGCTGCCAAAAAAGGCCTTTCTAGTGATTTGGAGAAAACATGTTGGGACCTTCTTTGATGGAGAATCATGAACAATGGTGCCATGTGGGTGACCTTGGGCCTTTGGATCCCCAAGGGATCCCTAACGCGGTGACCCAACCGTGGATCCCTGACGAGGCCTCCTTCGCCGGGACTTTGCTGAGCAAAGTGGGCATTGGTGATCCACCGCTACAGACCCTGCTGACCACCTGCCTGACACCTTTCTCGGCCTCTCGACCGTCCTGACATCCACTGTTTTTCTTTTTGCAGCTTTGCGGCCCCTTTTTTTGGAGAAAAGATTGCAGAATAGTGGCATTTTTATGGAGTCGAATCGAGCTCTAATTTTGTTTGCTTGACTCAATCTGGAATTATTCATATTATTCCACCTGAGTGTTGCTTAAATATAAATATGCTTAAATCATGCAGAATCCACTTGGTTTTTGATTGCCAAACGTCAAACGGTGATCCGCTCTGAGGAGATACGACGTGACCGAGATTTCTTCTTCGGAGACTTCCCGAAACAGGCGGAGTTCGACGAGATGATCGAAAAGGTGTCCTCTTAAGATTCTGAGGAAGCTGCCTTGATAGGACGATAGGTCCGATAGGTCAGTTGGTGTATATCGATACCATTAATTACCTATTAATTACCTACATATATATATGGTGATCGATCTAAAGGTCCTTGTAAGGAGTTTTAATTGCGAAAGCCGTGCGTGTTATGTTGGAAACCCTCGCGAAAGTTTTTTTCGAGTTCGCGAAAGTAAAATTTTATTTCGCGAAAGTTTCGCTAAAGTTGTGTATTATCATCATTGTATGTAAAGGGCAGCCACCCACTGCCGCCCGGGGTCCGGCAGAAGAAGGGCACCAGAGAATGCGAGTAGCAGTAGCCAAGTTTCCAAAAGTGAGGCTTTGCGAGAGCCAAACACCAAGGCCCCTGGTCTTCGCTTTTCCTTCAGTGCACCCCCTGCTGATGGCCGGGGTCTGTGAATAGGGATATTTCCGCGAAAGTTATGCGAAAGAGCGGGCGAAAGTCAAAGTGCATGTTGAAGGGGGTGGGCCAGTAAACTTTGCACAAAAGAATCTGTCCTGAGAAGGGATTCCGTGATGCTAGCTGCATGTTTAAAAGGCTACCAAGAAGTGATCCGTGATTCTCTGGCGTAATTTGGCAGGTGGTGAACGAATCTTCATAAGAGGTGTTGTTGGCCAACATGGGCCCCGCGAAAGATAAACATGGAGTTCGCGAAAGTTTCGCGAAAGTAAAATTTTTATTCGCGAAGAATGGCCGCTCCGGGATAAAGGAATTTTGATCAACAACCATATATATGTATATATATATATATATGTGTGTGTGTGTATATATATACTGTATATATAACTAACCAACTGGGAATATCACTGAATATCATATATATATATATATATAACTGTGTTTTATTGTGATAATTGTTGGATGGGACTATGAGAGGGTTTGAAAACCAACGCAGGGGCTCCATCCTGTTGAGATCTCTTGAGTTGCTGGTTGGGCTTGGTTGCAGAGGGCCAGAGGGCAAGGGAACCACCAAGCAGTTCCAACTGATCGCTTCAAAGTACATTTAAGTACCTCCAACTGTGAGGCTTCTTAGGTTTCAATTTTCAGGTGCTGCTGGTGCCGTTTGATCTTCGATGTCCCATTTAAGGACCATTCCAAATTCGGGAAGGTCCAGGGCCGTCCCGTTGCGTTTGCGACCAGTAGGAAATAGCAGCGATTGTTGCCGCCTGGGCAAGAGACCAAAGAAAAAACGTGCCAAAGCATTTGGTTTTACTATATGTTCATATATTGAATTATCTAATGTTTAACATACCGTACATATACCGTTTACAGCTCCCCAATCTGGTTCCGGATCTGCAATGTAGGAAAGCTGCAGCCACATTGCATTGACTACTACAGTATACTTGCACCGGTGCCACTATCCTTACCATCCTCAATAATGCGTCCAACGTTTGCATTTACATTCCCAACGGGTGCGGTTGCAAAATCCAGACCTTCCTTTGTTGTTACCAGCCAACGATTAACCGGTGGTGTTTGCATGTTCCTAATTTCTTTTGTTCAACTCCAAGCGAAAAATAGATCTATTATTCCTTGATGTACATCTACAATTTCACACGAAATCCACCTATACCATGTATCTACTCAACATTTCAGCCACTCAACCGCCAGCTCACTTTCCACCAAGTCGACCAAATGGCGAACATGGTTGGTCCAATGACTGTTTGGAAGCGCCAATCAATTCCTAGCGGGCGAAACAGCTTTGAAGCTTCGTATCCGGGAAAAATGGAGAACACCATCATTCCATATCATTCAAAAATGTGTTCACCAAATAGTTTTCACCAAGAAGAAGACATGCAATTACTCAATCATGATATACGTATATTGTTTTCATTATATCATTATTAGCACCATCATTTCGATATATTCCAAGAAATATTGCCATCAAATGGATCAATTATGGAATAAGTGAATGTCAGTTTGGCTTCATTGTGGCCATTGTTGTGGGCTTCAGTGTTTCAATATGTTTCAATCATGCACATATATTGGAACATTCAAAGGGCTCACCCTTTGGTAATCTAGCACAGCTAGGGAAAATGCTTCGTTCCTAGATGATTTACCTCGTATATCCTAGCATTTAGTTCGATTAACGTAATCGCTATGTTAGATTACTAGAGGCTACATTCCACTTGGCTCCTTAAATTTGCAGTGGACATTTGCAACTGGATATGTCCAAGTGTAATTTCATAGCAAATTTCTAGAATCATATATATATAGTCTATTCACAGAATTGGATGGGACACTTTAGAGGAAAAGCATTTTTTTTTCATGGTAAAAACCATGGTTTCTGAAGATTTCCCCACAAAAAATCCAAATTGGATCCACGCTGGTTCACCATGGCGCCCAAGCTGCGGCTCCTCGCCCCGCGGCCCACGCAGCTGTCCCAGTGGGAACGCAGCTTGGAGCTTGGAGCTGGTGAAGCCATGGCACAGTGGGATGATTTTTGGTGATTGGAAAAAACATAAACCCCGGCTTTTTTTTGGTTTTTGACGATTTATGAATGGTTTCTGATGATTTATGATGTTTTTTTTTCCAGATGTTAAATAAACACAGGCCAGATTTGATAGTTTAACGATGTTTAAAGTGAAGAAACCACTGCCGTCTGATGATGAAGTATTTGAATATAACATTCAATGGATTGGTTTAAGGGAAAATTTTCAGGAAACCATAGATTTTCCCATTAAATATGGGGTTTTCCTGTAAATTTTCCCCTAATCGAATCCATTGAAACATGGGATACCTGGGTTTTCAACCGCGATTGGAGGTCAGTGGGTTGTTGGGGATGAAATGCCTCAAATCCAGAAGCTTTTGGGTGTGTTTTTTGCAGGTTTTGCGTGGTGTTTTATTATTGCAAGCTCTATATGATATTATTCAATGTCATGATATATATATATATACACATAATTATAACATATATATATATAATATATATATATGTTGGCAATGACCAGGGACTGAACGGTTTCATGGCCAACATCAGGGCCATTTGGACTGTTAATTTCATGCAAAGATCCCGTTGTGAACCATATTGGAAAGGCATCAGATTTGATCCATGCTGTGCAACCCAGAGTAAGCAACCCTGGTAGACAATATGGCATCTTACCCCAGAATAATGAAATAGCATGAATTACCAGCATACACATACACACAAACAATCACAAACACATGGTGTATGTACATATTATATTTATGTTCGTATATTGAACATAAATATGTATATACAGATACACACACATATACCCTAAGGATCCATGTATGGAATATTTACCTACATTGGGATTATTTTAAATTACTTTAGGGGTCAATGTAGGTAAATATTCCATACATGGATCCTCTGGGATATATATATATATATATATATAATAGTTCGTTATTATTAGATAGTTAGAGAGACATCTGAATCATCACGTCGCGCTCCATTCCAGCCTGTTACCTCAGGCTTGGACGTCCTGCGGCGCTCGCAGCTCTTCTGCGATGTGCAACTGCAGAGCTCGGATGGCCACTTGGTGCTGTGCCACCAAGTGGTGCTGGCCTCCTGTAGCGAGAAGCTGAAGAAACTCATGGAACAGGCCAAGGTGCGATGGCAGAATAAAACCACTCAGCTGGATGGATCGCTTGAGACCAAAACCCATGGTTTTTGATGTTTTTTACAGGTCTGGAAAATGATGACTTTCAGCACTAGGGTGATTTAATCATGAGATGCAAGTGGATGAAATTAGGTTAGCACATGGGGATTTGCTGGTGAAAATAGGGATTGGTGACCATTGCGACCACTAGAAGTGATTATGTCGGAGGATTTCGCCAAAGTTCGGGATCAAACTACCATCGGCAAATGGGATTCGACCGGCATTGTGGCGTCCTGAAGGTGATAGTGATAGTTTATTGATAGTTCCATGATTTTTCAAACAGTGTGAACAAATGGTACTGCGACATATCATTGCCTACTGAAAATGCTCAAACCATGGATAGGTTTGGGGCTCGCGGGATCAAAACTTGACATTTCCTGGCGATCTCTTTGGAGTCAAGTGTGAGTCACAAAATGTGAGTTTCTACAAGGTGGTGCCCCCAAGATAGCTAAGTTGGTTTATATCTCTAATAACTAGGACTTATGGTAGATATATCTATAGTTAATGGGATTATAAAGCAACTTACAACTGGGGGGCACCATCCTGTATAGACTTTGCCAACATTTGGGACTTCGCAAGTCTGGGCTTAGATTGTTCGACTTGGAGTTTCCAACTTGGCCGGCAAATTTACAAATACCGCCAGCCCAGGTGCCTGAAAACGGAACCCAGCATGCTTCCAGTGACAAGATTCGGGAAGCTGTGACTGGGGCGACGCTACCTGCGCTATCTGCGGTCTTAGATTTCATTTACGCAGGCTGCTTGGCAGTGCATCAACCTACATGGTGATGAAGATTGGTGCTGGCGGGGAATGTCCTTGGAGATTTAGGGGAATCTCCTTGGAACGGAAGGTTAAGCGCGGTAGAATGAGTAGAACCAAAAAGTTATTGGATTTCCATTAGTCAAAGAATTATAGATTAATATAACTGAATTAGATGTACTTCAGATTAATATAGATTTGATTTCCATTGTTCAAAGAAGCACGTGTCCTGCAAGATTTGAGTAGCGTACTTGCTTCATCCCAGTACAAATAAGTTGTGAAACCTTTGAGTTTTCCAGCCAGCAAATTCTGTGAGTACAGCCAGCACCACTTGGACAATCCTGGAAGTTAGTTGCATTTCTTGACACATATCCTTATAATTATCCCCAAAGAGAACTGGGTATATGTGTCATGGCCTATACTGACTGGAACTACAGAACCAACCTACTGACCAGTTCATTCATATTAGAGTAAAGTATGTCCGTTATCATCTGGATTGTAACGTGCTTGCCGAACCACTGGTAAGTTGTCCCATGAAACATTTCTAACATGCACACCTCACAACCACGACACGGGGGTACTATTCACATCTATTCACCAATGGTCCATAGTAGAGTCTATATATTCCAGGTAAGTTTCTCCCTAAACTCATTGTAATTCATTGAACATCCATTTACAATCCGTTGGCAATTTATAGCCAGGCTTATAAACCAACTGAATTAGCATTGCTGTATCATGTATATATCCATTTGTCACCCAATCTATCATCAATTGTACTTCATTCACAAGATTTTCCAAGAATCTCCAAAAAAATCACATCCCTTAAAATCTACAAAACTTGTATAAATTCATCCATTCTCCATATATTCCCCACATATTCCCCCCCCCCTTCTTTAACGGCACCCCTGAACGCGTCACCGTGGTCACCGTGGCCCCGTGGTCGAAGGCCAAGCGCAGCTGTGCCATGCGCAGGTGCCGGAGCTGGCGCGCCTGGCGCGGCGCTGGGAGCTGCTCTCGCTCCAGGAGGCGCTGGCCACGGTGGTCGCCTCGGAGGAGGGCGGCCTGACGCCGGAGGCACCGTGGGAATTTCCATGGGAATTTCCCCCATTTTTTCATAGGAAAAGCATCTAGAAAATCTAGAAATGGTAAACTCCACATAGAAAGCAAATGAATGATAGATACTGTTTAGGAAGTTGTCTGATGGTTTTGAGATGAGTTTTTGTTCCTGATAAACCCCATGATATTACCAGTGAATGGTATTTGTTTAGATAGTTAAAGCTTTACTGCAATGATGGATAACCCCAGCAATATATTAACATAATACCACTGGTAATTTAAGGTTTAACTATGTTTAACTAATATATAGTAGTTATATATAGTAATTTCAGATAGTATAATAATTATATATAAAGCAATGGTAACGAATAATGTACCATTTTGTAATTATAGTAGCTGTAGTAGATAGTACCCGAGGGTAAAGCTACAAAAACATGTGGAAAACCCATGGGGAACCCTCAGGAAAATCATCTACAAATGTTAGGTTTTCCACATCCATGTTAGTTTCCAGGAGGGTAATTATAGATAAACCAATGAAACTACCATTTAAGGCTGGAATGATGGTGGCTAGGATTGGGGACTTCGGGTGACTTGTGATAATTTTCCCAGATCATTGACTTCATTTGGTAATTATAATTATGGAGAGCGGCACAGTTACCACCGATTGATAGTGATGTCAATGCATTGCTTTATGGATTCCAACCTCTACCCTCTGGTAATGAAACATGGCTAGCTGGAGAATGTTCCATGTATCATTTACCATCGAAACCTTGGCTTGTAGGCAATTTCCATTGCTACAGTTTGATGACACCGGCGGGTAGTTTTGGATGGGTGGCCCATTTATCCCTGATGTTCTGAGGAAAAAATGGTGATGATTGGTGATGTTTCATAGTTGTGTTATGTTGTGGTAAATTACCAGTGGGTATAGGGGATCTAGCCATCATTTGGAGGGATTGAACGTGTTGATACAGTTGATACAGCGGATTGATACAAGAGAACCCTTCTTTGTTGATGATGTAAAGGGAATTTTCACCACCAAATTACTTTGTTTATACTAAAGAATATGGAGATCATATAGTTGATATATAAACATTTTATACATATGTCTGTATATGTATATATATATATTGGCTTGCAGGGCCACCGCTTTTGGTTGACGATGTAAAGGAGGACATTCACCACAAAATATGAGGTCTAAATAACCATCAAACCAAACTATGCATGATGGATGGTTGATCATTTGTCCGGGGATGGTATTACCCTTTAATGCAATTTCTATCTTTCAGAGAGGAGACGATTACAATCCATTAGTTGTGTGCATCCATTCTCAAGCAACCAGGATTAAACGGGATGACGGAGGGTTTCAAACACTGCTCAAGTAGTAAACATGGAGGGATTTATGAACCACCAATACATGGTTGTTACGAGAGGAACAAAACAAATTGGGACGAGTCGGACGAGTTACTGGGATACTATGTTTGATGCTGAACCTCCGGGATGGCGATGTGTTAATTTAATGATATTTGAAGGGTCTTCGCCCAAGAGAGATGGAAAATAAAACATCATGAAAGCAATGAGCGGAGGAATATCACGGACTGCCCAAAATTTGTGGCGAGGTTTGGGCTGAGGATAAGAGTTGTTTAATGTTTGTTTCAGACTTTCAGATGGTCAATTGGAGTTTTGAGACTCAGATGACTCCAAGTTTTGTTTCTCATTATCCTGCCTTCAGTCGTTTTTGAAACTATAAGTCCTCAGTCTTTTCATCCCTTCCAAAACGCTTCACCGGTCGCCTGGAACACCACGGACCTAGACCGAAGCCGGTAGGTGGTCGCCGGGCTCTTCGCCTTGGGTGAACCCTTTGGGGAGCAGCTGGGGGCAGCAGCCAGAAGTTATGTGCTGGGCAACTTCGCCAGCTGTGCCATGACCGAGCCTTTTGCCCGATGGCCGCAGAAGGTGGTGGGATGTGACGATGGGATGCGACGTGGGGATGGAGTGTTGCTGAGTTGCTGGGTTTTGTCAAACTAATATATCCACACACACACACACATACACAGATACACGCATACACACATACACACACATACACATACACACACACATACACACATACACACATACACACACATACGCACATACACACATACACACATACACACATACACGCATACACACACATACACACATACACACATACACACATACATACATACATACATACATGCATACATACATGCACGCATACATGCACGCATACAGGTATACAGGCATACATGCATACATGCATACATGCATACATGCATACATGCATACATGCATACATGCATACATGCATACATGCATACATGCATACATCATACATGCATACACGTACATGCACGCATACATGCATACATGCATACATGCATACATGCATACATGCATACATGCATACATGCATACATGCATACATGCATGCATGCATACATGCATACATGCATACATGCATACATGCATACATGCATACATGCATACATGCATACATGCATAAATGCATACATGCATACATGCATACATGCATACATGCATACATGCATACATGCATACATGCATACATGCATCCATGCATGCATGCATACATGCATACATGCATGCATACATGCATGCATACACACATACACATACACGCATACACGCATACAGGCATCCATACATGCATACATGCATACATGCATACATGCATACATGCATACATGCATACATGCATGCATGCGCATACATACATGCATGCATAATGCATACATGCATACATGCATACATGCATACACATGCATACATGCATACATGCATACATGCATACATGCATACATGCATACATGCATCCATGCATGCATGCATGCATGCATGCATACATGCATACATGCATACATGCATACATGCATACATGCATACATGCATACATGCATGCATGCCATGCATCCATGCATACATGCATGCATACATGCATACATGCATACATGCATACATGCATACATGCATACATGCATGCATGCATAGATGCATACATACATGCATAAATGCATACATGCATACATGCATACATGCATACATGCATCCATGCATGCATGCATACATGCATACATGCATACATGCATACATGCCCTCTCAGAAAGTCCCATGGGATTTGTGGTATTTCTTTGGCAGGTTTTGGAGCATCTGCTGAAGAGTGACCAACTGAATGTGTCTGGGCATGGTGTGCTGGGTTGGGATGGAATCACTTGAAAGTCAATGTGTGCTTCTCCAGTGATGCATGTGCAACTGTGACCCCGTCGGATTTTGGCATTGTGTGTCATCACATGTCATCACTATGGCGTAAACATATCACCGTTGTATTCAACACACTCCATTCTGTTATAAGTCACTGAGAACCGCAAAACGAACCCCGACCAGACTCGCAGTACATCTGCAGTAAGACTAATTCTTTCCCCAGTGGAAGTCGGGACTTTTCGGTCATAATTGTCAAGCCATGGGGCCCGAAGACACAGCCATAGACCAACATGATTGAGATGGGGGCCTCGAAGGGCGGACATGATGCGCTGTGAGTATGTTAGTTCGATTCACTTGAAGAACCTTAATAATCTTAATATAAATGCAACATAACGCAACCATAGGAAAAGTTTAAACCGTTACCACCACCTGTTGGTAATCTAATTTGGCACAGCCGTTTGGTGTACCTAAAGAGAATGAGGGGGCAGGAGCCCCTTAAAAAATAAAAATAATAAAGCAAATCTGAAAATAAAATGGGGTCAGACCCCAGCATTTTATTTTGTGGGTGCATTTTTATTTTTTGAGGTGCCCAACCCATCAAGTTAACTGACTGAGAGAGCATATGATAGCAAAGATGCACAGCTGTGAACGGTCTGATCAGTTTATGAAACGTTCCAGAGATTTGGAATCACTTGGACATTATGGAGCATATGAAACTGAACAGTGATAATTCGAAAATGGGTTGCCCCCCTCATTTTCTATTGCCTCCTTTGGCCAACAAAAGACACACGGGCAGCTCACAGCAGCCAATGAGATTTCTTCAGTTTATTTATATTTATTTGTATGTTTTCTAGAAACCATCCAGATATCATATTTGTATCCATGTGCGTTGATGTATATATTATATTAATTTATATTATATATAATATATATAGATGATTCTGCCACTCGAAACTGTGCAGTGCTCATGGCCAGGGTAGGTTCGTGTCTCACATCTTTCCAAAAGAACTCGGCACATATTCTAGTCCAAAAAGCCTCAAGTCCCCCAACCGCCAACTATCCCTGGTTTCCTGTTGGTATCTGTTGATGTTCGAAACCAGCCTCGTGACCGAAAGTGACCCTAGGTCTCCAGTGAGGAGGAAGCACTGCTGTGGGTCACCAAATGGCGAGCTGCCAAGGCTGGTCGCGAGGCGCCTTGTGCTGCCATGGTGGGAAGTGGATACACATGAAATCCCAGAAAGTAGCAATATGTAGTAATGTACATAGCTACTTGATGCTATTTGATGCTAAGTGACTTCCATGTTATTCATGTTGTTGTGTTAGAAAGGTTGAAAAGCAAGTCCATCTAAGCAACCTAGAAAAGCGGACTAGAATTATGCTTATTCACAAGCAGCTTACGTGCAGTTACAACAAGGTGTGATGCTCAGGAGTTTGTATCAGAAAGAATTAAGATGCTTGTTGTCAGGCGGGTAAATTCATTGCATGAACCTACTCTGCAATGTCCATTGTCCTACTGATGTTGAGTCTATTGGCCCCGCCTCGGTTTTGGGTTTGTGGCAGTCACAATCGAAATGTATGCCTTATTTACATTTATTTACTCAATGTTCCCATCTCCATGATATTTGATACACCCTCATTCTATGGTCCCAAATGTGTGTATAAATTCCCTACATCCACCAGGTTTCCGAGGGGTGTCTAGTATTAAGGATTCTTCATTTAGAGGTTTCCTAAAATGGGGGTACCTCCAGTTATCATCCCATTTTTACAGATCGGATTTTCCATGAAATAAACCATCCAGCGTTTTTGGGGTACGCCCATGACTATGGAAAGCCCTATGACTATTCCTCCACAACGTTACCACGGTGCCACGGTCGTTGTGTCACCATCATGGAGGAGACCTCCGTGGCGATTTTGACGGCGATCCGGTGGCCCTTGATGTCGCTCCATAGCTTGGAAACCTTGTCGGAGCTTCGGCCAGCTATGGTTGGATGATTCCCCTAACCCATGACGGATCCATGGTGCTGCTATGTATGGTAACATGGATCCCATCAATATACCCCCTTTATGTTAGCATATATACCAGCACCATGGATATACATGGATCCTATGGGCTAATGATCATTCACTCGAGATTCTTTTTCACCAGCAACAATACAGCAACTAGGGGATTTTCCCCTTGTGTTTTTCCACGTATTTAGTTTGGGGATGTTCCGAAGTTGTTTTGTTGAAAAATGAGCCATCTCCATTTCGTGCCAAGATCTCCGAAAGGACATGAAGCCTGCAACGCCCAGCAGCTTCGCAGATACGGTGGCGACCCGCTGCAAGGCCGCCAAAGTGGCGCATCAGGGGCTGGAGACCCTGCCCAATGTACGGCAGTCCTTTAACGGTGCCTTCGTATATCTTAGGCCTGGGAGATGTTGGGTAACCATATGACCCAATAATGTGGGATTCACCCAATGCCATATTTTTTTTAAAAGCTGCCATGACTGGGGATGGTTCATACAACACATGATCACTGTGATTTTGAGGATACCATCAGGTTTTTTAACCTATTGAAACTGGTGATTTTCCATGGCTATGTTAAATAACCAGATGGTAGTTTGATTTTTATTTTTAATATTGAGTTTAACCACGTTAACCTATATGTGGCGTTTTGTTTAGACTCATATTAAGATAGGTGAACCACTTAGGAGTTATGGAGTTGGGACGTGCCTTAAATGTAGAGGAACCTTACCTTTTCTGAATGTTGGGTTTGTAATTGCTTTCTTTGATGGTGGTGTTGTATATTTCCTTGGTACAAGAGGGAAACCAAAGAGTTTGTTTTTTGAATTGTGGGTTTGGTAGTCCGAGTATCTAAAAAGGATCTCAGATCCACAGTTTCAATCTTCAAATTGAGTTGTTTCCTGTTGTGCCCTGTCAAATAAAGGGTTTGCTAAGGGGGCAATCGACAGGACACGTTTCTCAAGATGGCCAGGTGTCCATTTTTTGGACCTCAGAACATGGCCCATGGTCCACCCAACTGACCCAACTGACTCAACTGACTCAACTGAGCTGAAATTCATAACCCATAGGATCCATGGTGCTGCTATGTATGGTAACATGGATCCCGTCAATATACCCCCAATGTTAGCATATGTTGGCATATATACCAGCACCATGGATCCTATATGGGTAATTTTCTTCAAAGGTCTGGTCTATCGGCCTATCATGGTCTATCGACATCATGGCCTGAAAAAAAATCCGGCGACCTGGACCATGGATCCGATCGATCCGATCGATCCGAGGTTGGTGGGCAGGTCTGGGCTGTGCCGCCAAGGGAGGAGTGATCATGGCTGGTCAGGGCTGTCCAGGATCCAAGGAAGCGATCAAGGTCAAGGTGGGCCTTGGGATGGGAAACCTCAGGTTTTTCAGTGGCACCATGGGGGCCATGGGATAATCATGGGTGAACTATGGTTAGCTATGGTTTAACTATGGTGAATTATCAAGAGATTGGGTTGGGGATGGTTGTGGTAATTGGGTCATTGTTTACAGCTAAACCTGGAGGTGAAGCTTATATCCTTAAGAACAATTCGGCGATTTCACAAATGGGGATCGAACCGGCAAACAAATTGGGTTTGGTATGGTGCATTTGTGATTCATATAGATATTCATAGTAAGGCCACTGAATGGTGAATGGATGTGAATGGTAGGTGCGTGATGCTTTGCCGCCAACCTACATTAATCTATTAATATCTATTATCTCCATCCAGATTCCTTTCCGAATTGATGTCCCGTTTGTGCAATAGTTTCATAATTTAGCCAGATATGGTATAGTTTTATTAATGTATATGCACATATGGACCCATGGCTGACCCTGCAATGAAATTTGATTAGTTCATAACTGGCTGAATATTTGGAGAAACGCAACAGTAAACCCCTAATTTTGGATTGGTCTATACAACCCAACCCAATTTGGCACAAATTGGTGATGCTTTCTGATTAGAATCACCACTCCATGTTTGGAAAAATCTGAATAATTATATATGAATATATCTTTGGGGTACACACATATATATATATGATATCATCAATATAATTAGAACCATTCATAGGAACTATATATCAAAGATTCACTGCTTTTTCCTTGATCTTTTCTTCTTGGCTGGCGCTGTTTGTTTCGGGGTCTCCCCTGGTTGCCTCAGGCCGTGAGGCCCCACGAAGGCACCCTGCTTCTGTTGGATGCCTCAGAGGAGCCGGGCCGAGTCCTGCAGTGGTTCCTGCGGATGCACAGCGGACGCAGCGTGGCGGGCAAAGGCAGCGAGCTGGACATGACCTTTGAGGACATGGCGGAGCCTTGGCCGAAGAAAGATGAAATTCATTCATCTGCTTGGTGGTGAAACAAATCCTGACAAAATTGACGAAGTCATATTTTTCAGATGGGTTGAAATCACCAGTAATTATGGGAACATTCGATAGGAATATGATATATGATAGGAATATGATATGTAATCGGGTGGTCGACTTGCTCCGCTACATGGTTGTTTACCCCGACTCGTTGCGGATGCAAGGAGGATACAATGGAAGGGTCTGTCAGTCCTGGATGGTTTGGGTTTCGTTGACAAAGAATGGTTGCGGAAGATTTACAGATTCCCTTCGAACCAAGTCTGGGAGAAGGACATTCTGTTGGAAGTGAATCACAGAATTATCCCAGAAGAATAGGGCTTAACTCCCATATTTCCCCATCAATCCACCCAGTTCTACCCGTTCCAAATCGCGATTTTGCTGACTTCCCCATTTTTTCACCTAGACCCACCCAACATCCCACCCAACATCCACCCAACACCCAGGACATTTGGAGCGGCCCCGACGACGCCTTCTACATCTTGGACCGCGACGCGGAGCGCGTGGTGCAGGTCCGGCAGGGCGAAGCGGAGCTGGTGAACCAGGGGACCATCCGCCTGGAGCGGCCCTGCAGCGTGGCGGTGGAGGGCCCGGACCGCGCCTGGGGCGTAACTGTCGGATGGCGCTTTTGGGATGGTGATGTTGGAACAAGAACATGAAAAAACTATGGGATACTTGTAACATGAGATAAGTCTGGGGATATCATGTATATATATATATTTATATATCACATATATATTTATATATGTTATGTGTGTGTGAATGTATGTGGTAAATATGATAGAGATATTGATGGAATGGGACATCATTGCAATTTATTGGTATTTGTTTAGGAGAGTAACCATCCATAAAAGTTGCTGAAAAGCGGGAATCCGGATGTTATCGATGATATTTACTTTGAAAAGTTTCAGGTTTCTCCCTTTTCTGTTTTTTTTTTTTGTGGTGCTATAATGGTTGTTGAAGGTTATTTGTGGTGATTGATGCGTACTAGTGGTCCAAATACGATCTGAGAAGGTGTTTGGAGGTGCAGGGTACTGTGAAAGTGATGTAATTTTGATGATTTTTAAGGTGGCAAACCCCAATGCCAATATATAATTTGGAAATGCTGGATGCATGAATGAAATTTGGGAAAGCTGATGAGAGATTGTGTGGCGAACGCAAAAACCATTTTTTTGGGGGATATGGAATCCTATGGATCTATTTGAGCATTTAGCCGAACAGTAAAAGTTGATTGTCTTTGGCATGGTTTTCAAATGTGGTGGTATAGCCATCAGGTACATTTTTTGGGGGACTGAGGGGGTATGGTTATCGTTTTCCGCATTGGCGTTACGACCAGCTTTCTTCAGGGTCAGACAGTTGAATCATGTTGAATCCCTTTTTGGGTTTGAAAATGGTTCCAGTGGTGGTCAACGTTATTAATTATTAATAATCCTTATCATACTGGTGTTGTTTTGCATTTGCAAGGTTTATGCAGGCAAGATTTCCGTATAATAATGTATAATATATATATATATCAACTAAATATCCGTATTGGAAGAGCAAAAAAATCGTTTGATGTGACTCTGTCTCATCAACTATTGGGCTTACCTATCGAGGATTTAACAAACCAACATTAATCAACCATGCCATGAGGATCTAGCCCAATTCAAAACTTGGTACAGAAACAGAAGTCGTGAAATTAACGTTAATATCAGTTGTTCTTCTGAAACACAAACATGATATGTATCCTTTAACCTCTGAACTTGAAAGATATCTATATATATATATTATAAATCCAATCGTCGATCTAGCTACAAAGTAGCAATTCCGACCTGGGGCACCACCTTAGCTAAGTACATTGTCGGTATAGACGGTATAGCATTATAGATGCCATTCAATCCCATTGCTCATTTGTCCTTGCTAAATCCAATATAAATCACCATTTTTCTTGCTCAAATCCCATGAAATCACCATTTGTGACTCTGAATTGCCATTAATTAAGCCCCATGAAATCCCATTGAAACCCTATAACATTCCCATTGATCACCAGGCTCCCAGGCCCCCAGCGCCCCAGGGGCCATCTACGTCCTGGACCGCGAAGGCAGTCGCGTGGTGCGCTACGTCCGCGGCCGCGCGGTGCAGGTGGCCGGGGGCACCGAGGCCGGAAGCGGTGCGGCGCAGCTGAACGCGGGGCCGACGGGGCGGATCTACGTGGCTTGGAAAATGCGGAAGGGGAAGGGGATTTGGAGATCTGCTATGGCCATTCATTAGTTCTAACTGGTTATTTTTATGGGATTACACATTCCATAAATGGGGTTTTGTTAGTACTTATAACTCATATCTGGCCACAGTTATGGCGATTTCATGGAATAATCTATATGTTACATGTTTGTATAAGTTGACATTAGTTGATGAAATTATTATAGAGAGAACATATGAGAAAATAATTCGATCATCTTCTTCTATTGGATGGATGTTCGATGTTTTTTCATTGAGCTTAGTGATTTAGTTATAACATATACATGCCTACGAATGGTCACTGATGTGAATAGTTTTTTGTTTGCGAAATTGTTTTTGATGTGAATATCATATGAAAGAATCATGACATTCATATGAATAGAATTGTTAGTTGATTATTGTCATGAATGTTGGTGATGTTGTCTCTTGGAAAAGGGATTGATAGTCATGGTGTTTAATATTATCGACCATATTTGTTTCGTTCATACGAAATAAAGCAAATTAATACCTACACTCCAGATCAGATCCCTATGTTTTTTTTAATTATTTTGTCAATGTCCTGGTGATTGACGTGGGAAACCAAATGGTAGATCCCAGGTGAGAATGATTATATATACTGTATAGTATATATTTATATAGTTCCAAAATGCTGTGTTCTCGTCTAATCCAAAGTGTAAAACAAAATGGCTTTACCACTATGCATGGTTGGCAAATGTTTGTTGTACTAGTAACTAGTAGGTGCTTTGTAGCCATTTGCAACTGGTTCATCCAAAACGAGGGACATCATGTATATAGTTGCTGATGATCATTCAGCAAGGTTATGGCAGATTGGTTCGCACATCATTTTTTTGTTACCGAGGGTGGGGGGTTCAACTAACCCAGTCACCACTGAAAGCTGACAAGTCCTTATTGTTGGTTGTTGGTGCTGAAGATTTACCTTCAATAAGTCACAGTGGTGATCCATGGTCCGCATGGACTTATAGATGGCCCAACACAACTCCATACATTGAGTCATCCGCAGATGTTTCTTTCATGACACTCAGAGTTTCGAGTTTTTGCTTAACTCACCAATATGGCTTTGGCCTTTTATATACATGGCTGGCTGGTGCTTTATGTTTTTCATTGTCCAGCTGACTATATCATATGTTTCAGGGGGGGTGTCGCAATTAGATGGGATGCGTTTGTTTTTGTAACAATTCTTGTAGGCTGTACACCGCATTACATTTGCAAATTGATGGTTAGCAAAGTAGGGGGAATCAGAGAATCAGACCCAAATGGCTGCAAGTTTCAGCTATAAAAAAAACTCAGGTTGCTGACTGAGTATAAGCTTGCCAGACATAACTTTACCATGATGATCAATCCCTTATCTTCAATCATATCATCATATCAATTGTCATCGTTCCAGTATTTTGGAATTGTCATATTTCCATATATTTCCAGTATGACTGGATACACCATATGATTCAATCCCTTATTATCGTATTGTCATCTTATATTCCATATTAAATATTAAGATAGGATCAATCTATGGATATATATATATCTCTCTCTCTCTCTCTCTTATCTTCAATGATAATCACATGATTCCACATACCCTCTGGTAATTTAACATAGCTATGGAAAATCCACCCACTTTTCATGGGAAAATCCACTATAAATCACCATTTTCAATAGCTTTTTGTATGTTTACCAGGCCGGGTATGTCATCATCCCATGGTCCCATGGTCCCATGGTCCCAGTGGGTCCCATGGGTCCCATGGTCCGAGGCCGCCAAAGGTGGCAGACTCTACATCTCGGACACCGGAAATCATCGGGTGCAGAGATGGGACCCTGGAGCCAAGGTGGGCCCTGGAGCCGAGATGAGCCGAGGTGGTGCCCCCCAGTAAAACTCAAGTTTAACGAACTGGAAAATCACCATTTTTCATGGGAAAACTCATGAAAACTCACTATGGCCATGTTCAATAGCTATGTAACAAATTACCAGAGGGTATGCTGATATACTGGTTGGTGGTTTGGAACATGAATTGTTTAATGATAGTCAATGATGGTTAATGATGGTTAATCATGGTTAATAAGGTTAATCATGGTTAATAAGGGATAATAGAATAGACACCTGGTTGGTGGTTTGGAACATGACTTTTATTTTTCCCCAATAGGAACTGGATGATGATCCAATCTGACGAACTCATATTTTCAGGGGGTAGGCATACCACCAACCAGTAGTTTTGTTGGTTTACAAACCCCATTAACTATAGCAATAAGATGCAATAAGTATCATAAACCATAGTTATTGGAGATATATATCAACTTTACAAACTCTTGGGGCCCCCACATTGTAGGATGAAATTACTGCCTTGTTCTTGGTGTCGTGGTCGTGAACATGTTGTTTGGTGAGGACATTGGATATCTCAAGTCGGGCCGTGACCATGTATATTTTTTCAGGTTGATTTTGTTTAATGCCGTTTGCTTGGTCAAAGTCCCTATGTTTGGTGGGTTGTAAGCCAATCTTGAGGTGAAATCCTATTTATTGTTGGCTAAGTCCTGTTTTTGGGATGCTCAAATCCAATTTCTTCCCTAATTTTTGGGTGGTGAACCAATGAACTTCCCGCTTGAAGTGGATTATAGTGACCCCAAGAAGGATAAAGCAGCATTTGTTATTTTAAGATCGTTTTTTTTGTGATTATGATTGCTATCATTCATGCAGGATTTCTACAGTTATGGCCAGGTACAAGTTATAAGTACTAACAAAACCCCATTTATAGAATGTAATAATCCCATAGAAATCACCAGTTGGAACTAATCAATGGCTCAATGGATTGGTTTAGGGGGAACAATTAACCGGAAATTCATAGATGTTCCCATGAAGATCATGGGCTTTTCCTGTGAGTTTCCTGTAATTTTTCCCTTAAACCAATCTATTGAATGGCCATATCTGTACATCCCCCCTTCTGAACCGTCCGAACGTCCCGTTCCAAGGTGGGCATCACCGTGGCAGGTGGCCACGGCTGCGGAAGCGGTGCAGATCAGCTGAGCCATCCAGGCCGCATGAGAAAATCATGGGAAAATACCGATGGTTTCCGGTGAAGATTTTCCCTTAAACCAATCTATTGAGACACTCATTTTATACTCATATATATATATATGTGATTTTATGTGGATTAATATTCCTATATCAATATGCTCACTCGGGAACTCCAGGGATGAATATGATATGAACACTGTAATCCTGGATTTGCTGATGATTTCTTCCCTATGGGACATCTATATACTTGACATGGGGAATCGATTCGCAAATCCAAAAGGATGGTCAAAATGACCAATTTCTTCAGCTGAATTATGGAGAAATGGATCCAGAATCTGTCTGAATCATTCTTTTTGATTGGTTTAAGATGGTTTAAGGCGACGAAAGCTCATGTCAATATAGGTACTTTTTTCTGATTCAAGGATTCAAGGGAGTGTTTGAGATCTTTTGAGGGTGTTTGTTTGGAAACGATGGATCTGTTTAATTAGCTAAACGCCAATCTGACTACTGTAGAAGTTTCTGCTGAAAGTCTTTGAGAAAGAAATTCAATGGAACATACCTCTTCCGTAGGTGAGTTTCCTACTCAATGGGGGATTTGATTTCCATTCGAACATGAGCTCAATTTCCTGTTTTTTACATCAACATCAGCTGCTTGGTACAGATAAGCCCGCCCATTGGCCAACAATTAGCAGGGCCAATGCTGCTTAGCTACTTGGGTGGGTTCATGATATCACATGCTTGATCATGCTTGTAAGTTTTGACGGTGATTTATATCATTTGCCGCGAAAGCCAAGATATCAGATAGCCCAGCGACGATTCCACGGTTCCAGGTGGCATTTGGGCTTTGGACAACGGCACCGTGTACGTGGCAGACGTGGGAAACCATCGTGTGCCTGGGATGAATCACGTGACGTCGTAACATTGGGGGGTTCCATGAACGGTACCCCCAAATGGATGGTTTATACTGGAAAATCATGTTAAAATGATTTGGGGGTATACCCATATTTTAGGAAACCTCCAATTTGCTAAATCACATTTAGAGGTCACGAAGGGAATTCTGTTTCGTGCGCTGGGGCTGAGGGTTTGTGATGTTCCTGCACAGTACCATGCCTGACAGGTGATGAAATGGCGCGATGGTGCCAAAGCAGGCCAGGAAAGGAGCAGATGCCCTTCCTCTTTGCTGAGAAAATATTGTTTGCATAGGCTGATGGACGTTAATTGTTGATAAATTTGTCCCATTCTCAACCTGCTCCACTTACATCACTTCCAGATGTTCTACGAAAAGTCTCCCAGGTCCTGGGCCCTGGGTCCCAGGTGTTTTGGCCGCGGGTGGCTATGGCCCCGGTGACGCCTTACATCAGCTGAAAGAGCCCGTGGATGTCATGGTGGACGCCACGGGCGCGCTGATCGTGGCAGACCTGGGCAATGCCCGGCTGGTGCGCTGGGCAGCGCCACAGGTGCCCACAGAGCTGCTGCAAGCGCTGAGGGGATAAAAAGTAGCGCCAGGGATAGGGGAGATGAACCACCAAGTAGCAAGGTCACTCCACCCAGAGTCAGCTTGTCTCAGGTGAATCATAATAGTTATTCAAGTAAGGACCACCCCACTGTTGTCAAAGTAATTGGTAATAAAATGTCTCCGATGTGTGGATGGTTATCCCATTTCAGCAACTGGGTTGCAACCCCATCCTCCAAGTGTGGAGGCTTCTTCCAAAAAAATGGGTATAGATTGTGAGATCCAAATCCCAGACTATTAGAATCTTATTGGAATCAAGTTTGCAGAGGTTCAGGCTCAACTTACCAACCAAGTCTGAGGTCAAATTCGAGTGGCAGGGTGCCACACTTGGGTAAACCACAAGATCCAAATTGACTGCTTGATGTGGTTGAACATGATTCTCAAAGATGTTTGGAATCCACGGTTGGCTGATGAACATCTGGGTAGTTTTCAGTCTCAAGCTCCCAGATCATCGGTTTCATTGCGCAAACATGCGATTACCCTTTGGTAATAAGATATTGCCCGTTTAGTCTGATGATTTACCTATCCCAGAGGATCCATGTATGGAATATTTACCTACATTGACCCCTAAAGTAATTTAAAATAATCCCAATGTAGGTAAATATTCCATACATGGATCCTTAGGGTATATTGAAATTGTGAGTTTCCATAGCCATGTTGAATTCCTCCGTTGACACTAGGACTTTTCAAACAGCAGGGATGCCTACTGAGTAGATTGAGTGGACTTGATGGCACTTGCGCCACCTTGCGCCTTAGGTTTCAGCAGGGACCATGCGCATCTTCGGGGTCCAGAGGCTGCTTGCGGGGAAAAACAGAGGAACAACACAACACCACTTGGGAAACACGTCGCCTCCCACAAACTGGGGCATGGTTTTTAATATGTTTTAATTGTCCAGTTTTATTGGGATTCAATGGAAAGTCAAGTGTTTTTTTGGTAAGTTGGAGTCTCCGATGAACACGAGATTGCCATTTCTTAGTGCCTTGTTTTTATGCAACTCCACTGTACCAGGTGAACTCGGGCCACTAGGGCTGTGTTTCCTCGAGGTCATTGCTGAACCAGCTGGTCTGCCAGAAATGGATAGAAATGGCAGAATGCAGTATCCGTAAAAGGCAGAATTCGGCCGTCTTGTGCAGGGTGTAGAATGTAAATGAATGTGACCCATAAAAATTGGTTAAGCCGGTAAACCATCGAAATTCTGAAATTGTGAGGTCATTAATGAGGTCAGTTTATTTAAAAACATGGGTATTTGATGGGTATTTTTTCAGGGTCGAAATGGATGGTCATCCGGTGGGATGACCATGGCATCATGGATGGCCTTCGCTCAGACCCTGGCTCGAGCTCTGAACCTTTCCGCGGAACCTGCCCTGTTCCGTCACATCATGGCGCAGGACGCGGGCCACATCACCTGCGGTGCTGTTTGAAAGATCTGAAACAAGAAATGGTTGGTTGGAAATTGGATTAACATGGATTATCTATGATGAACATTGGTTAACTAATAGGATTATATAATTATGATTAACGTTAGGTCTTATCCCCAGAATTGGATTCATTATGATTATTAACTATTGCAGTTGTTGTTTGTTTGAATGAGCGGTCAGGTACCAACTGTGATTGAACATATTTAGCAATTCGCTTGGTCCAGGCGAGTATTATGCAGCATGGAATGCACCTTTTCCCTTTTTGTAATCCAAGCTACTCATGGAGAATCCTGCATTTCCAGGCCATATTATATGCGTATATATATATATATATAAATATCTATCTATTTGTCTATCTATCTATATATCTATCTAATCTAATCTAATCCTAATCCTAATCCCAATCCCAATCTAATCTAATCTATCTTTCTATCTATTCTAATCTAATCTAATCTAATCTAAATCTATTCTAGTCTAATCTAATCTAAATCTAATCTTATCTAATCTTATCTTATCTAATCTTATCTTATCTAATCTAATCTTATCTTATATTATCTCATTTTTCTTATCTTATCCTATCCTATCCTATCCTATCTATCTATCTATCTATCTATCTATCTATCTATCTATCTATCTATCTATATGTATATATATATACATATGTGAGTTTGACCTGTCTAATGTATATTTTGTATAGCCAAGTGATCACATGCCCCGTTGACATTTGGCTTTAGGGCCCTTGAGTCATACCGCGCTGCCGTGGTAAAAGTTGGGCATTTGACGATCCCGTTTCCAATTCATATTGGTAGCGGAGCAGGTGACGACCTGCATCCGGTGGTACGTCAGTGACCCAGGGAACCCTTTGTGAATTTGAGTCTGGTAACTTTGGGAATCAACTGAACTTCGAGTGTGTCGTGGTTCGGGAATCTGTCTGACCCTGACCAGGGCAGACACTTGTTAACGTTTTTCCTTGTTCGACTCCGAACGGAGCGAGCATCATGTCGATCAATGGCCTTCGTTTCAATCAGGAACGCCATTCGTCGGCACCACTTGAGACGAAGAGTGGATCATACATCTATGCAGGTGATGCGGCGAACTTTCATGATTGGCAGTTCAGGACTCTCCTTCGGATTCGTCTTTATGAGCAACAATTGGAGGAGGAGACAAGTAAGCCTGCGGATCCCGTTGGGACCACAGCAACAGAGCCAGCCGCAGAAGATGCAGAAGAGTATGCTACTTTTCCAGATTTGTCGGGTGCTACTCAAGCAGCCCAGCCTACATCAGCAGTCTCGACTCCGAAGTCTGGAGCGAGCCGAAAATCCTCGAAGTCCGGCAAGCAGAAGACAGACATTGACCGTGGACCATTGGTCAACAAGGTGATTGAAGGACTGAGAGGAGATGCTTTCTCAATAGCTAGGGATCTTGGACTTGAAGTGTTGTCCAAACCTGGTGGCCTTGTGAAACTTGTGGGTGAGATCAAATCCCATGTGTTTCCAAGAGCCCGTGAGGAAGCCAAGGAATTATTTCGAGCAGGACAGAAGCAAGGTGGTCCTTTGTCTCGCCAACCAGGCGAACCCATGCTTTCCTATGTTCAGAGGAGACGACGTTGGTGGCACATGCTATGCGAGTTGGATGACACAATGGTGTTTTCGGACAGCTTGAGGACAGAGTTGATGTTGGAGTTGAGTGGGCTCAATCGACAGGAGATCCTCGTTGTGAAGGCCTGTGCAGACACTAAGGATTTTGAAGGTGTTGGCAAGGTGCTGATCGAGAACTACAGTGGCACTCACTTGCGAGAAGGGTCACGATCCTGGACAGGACGTGGTAATCCTCAACAGCATGGCAAGTCGTCAGGCAAGGGTTATGGCAAAGGCAAACCTTCTTCGAAGGGATCGTATTCCCAAGCAGCCTATGCAGCCTACCCCGATGATGGGGAGGAACATGCAGAACCTTGGGATGAAGCTGTGGATCAATCCTGGGAGGATGATTCATATGTTGGCATGCTTGGTGACATTGCAGAAGAGGAGCCAGGAAACCTAGAAGGTGACAACGAATTTGATTACTTTGACGACGTCGATGAGTACGAAGCAGTTGCATTGAACAGCTTGCTTGAAGTTGAAGGTGCAGAAGACGATCGACAAGCAGGAGACGCCATCCAGCTACAACTTGCTGCTTTCACCGCAATGGGGAAAGCAGGTGGCAAGGGCAAATCCTTCGGGAAGCCCAAAGGAAAGGGGAAAGGAAAGATCGTGAAGTCCAACCTCACGATCGATCAGAGGAGACGGAAGCTCACAGAGCTGAAGTCGAAGAGCAAATGTTTGAGATGCGGAGTCATAGGGCACTGGGCCGGTGACCCGGAATGTAAATTCCCGGGGTCGAAAGCCGGAGCCCCTGGAAAGTCAGCCCCAAAGCCCGCAGCTCACTTTGCCGACATGAGCGATTCTTCAGATGACGATGGTGTGACTCTGACAGCTTCACCTGATCGTGACAGAGATGGAGTTGCTATGATGGCAGTTCGACAAGCGAAGCCCAGCAGTCGACCTTCACGTGCAGCAGCATCCAGCAGCAACGTTGGCTTGATTTCCCGGGATCTCGATGTTACAATGAGACCCGAGGACCATGGGTGCATCTTTCCTGTTGGACAGTTCAAGGGTTTGTCTTTTTGGAATGTGTTGTTTGAACAGACAGGGTACTATCATCATGCCAAGAAACATACCCCCAAGAGTCCATACTATGTCACATGGTTGAATTGGGTTGACAAATACTTTGTGGTTGGTGCTGATGGGATTCACTTGCGCGAAGTCCCTGTTGAGCATGTCGAGCACCGAGATTCGTTGGTGACTCGGGAAACTGGCAGGAGAAAACCCCCAAATCCACCTTTGCCGAACAAGTGTCAGGAATGTCGTGAGTTTACAAAACAAGGTTCTACGGGGTACACCATCAGGAAGACCTGTCTTGTGTGCGGTCATTCCGAAACAACAAGGCGTGACATGGTACCGTTGATGTCCCCTGAGAATTGCCCTCATGATGACACCGATTTTAGGGGATCCAGCAAATCAACACACCGTACTTTCTGCAAGAAGTGTTGCACTTTCATTGATGAAGCTCCTATGCAGATTCGCAAGGAGCGTGTTGCCATTGCCAAGAAGGTTGAAACAGCATCAGTTCGAACAGTCCCCATTGTTGAATCATTGGTTGAAGAATCGGATGGATTGAATCCAGTCCAGTTGGAAGAATTGTTGCCCCTGTTTGCCACTCTTGTTACCGAAACCTGTCAATCTGAGGTCATGACCCGTGCACGTCTACATGAACTACTCCATCAAGCCATCAATGACGTGACAGAGGAAGAGGACAGTTTTTCTCTTGTCAATGAAGATGGGCACGGCGACCCCTCGGGCAGGGAGTTAGCTGGGTACGTTGGCATTTGTTTGCATGGAAGTGACATTCAATACCCTCAAGACTTGGTTTACATGAACTTTGAAACTGTTGACATTGCCAGGTCATCCCATGTCTTTGCAGTGTTGGATGAAGGTTGCAACAGCACTTGTCATAGCAAAGCCT